TATGTGGGGGGGGGGGGGGGGGGGGGGGGGTTCCTCGAAGGGGCAGTGCCGCAGTGCCAAGTGAGCAGCATTTGGAGTCCGCTTTGGTACAATACTCCGAGGCGGCAAGTAAAGTGACCGGTTATGAGCAGGGGAAAATGCCCCAAGAGAGACACAGAACGACTGGCTTGGTGTATAACGCAGTGGTTTTCAGGGCTCTGTAATCGCCGCCAGGTCTAGATGTAGAAGTCCCAACATAAGCTGAATCAACATCATGGACAAGCCCTGCCGTGATCAGCAAGACTCCGGGCCCCTTCACTGGGGATCGGGGAGAAGTGGTGGTCCGTGATGACTTATTATAGTCACCGAGATTGATAAGCGTCGTCATCGGCCGAGACATGCCGGCGGATCAGCCAACTCGCTCACGGCCAGATTGCAGCATGTGGAGGTCGTCAAAAGCCGTGGTGCAATAGAGTTTTGATCATGTTGTTTCGGACGTACGTCAACGAGAACAAGAGGCGGTAGATGAAAATTGGAGGAGGATAGTATAAGGAACACACTGTCCGGCTTGAGGTGGCATGATTCGCTATGAAACGGGCAGCAAGGGTAGTGCCAAGTGTTGAACCGTTCAAATTCGAAGCCGGCTCGGACGATGAAAGATGACTGGTTCACTGTGTCTAGTTGGCCGCTGTTCCTGGAGCCATGCCTTTTGATCCATGCAGTGGCTGGCACCGGTATTAAGGAGAATGTGAACTTGAAATGCTGGTTGGTGCTGGGGTAGCCGGATGAATTCGAGGCAGGCTGTGGAATGCTGTGAGTGGTGGGTTCTGTTGGCTCGGCGTTGGTGGGGCAGGCGGTAACCATGCTTTTTTGCTCGAGGCAAGAAAAGATTCGACAAAACATTGAACATCCAGTCGGAGAAACCTCGCAGCCTCGAAACCTCCATAGGCCACCGGATGGATCTACCGTACGTGATGGCCTTCGGCATCTTTGTTTGCTCCTTCCACAGCGTGATCAAAGTCTACTAGACCACGACGGCCTCAATCTTGTATGTTTGTCGACCTCGACGCTTTCGGACGATTCTTCATCTCATTTAGGCCACTTCACGGGCAACTTCGCTCTGTCCCCGCGTTGACTCCCTATCGTTCCTGATATTTACAACATCTCACGACGTCGGCGTCTTTGACGCTGCACTATCCTCAATGCCTTGCGCAAGTGCGGCATCCTATCAAGAATGAGACATCGTGGCCAAGGGTTGGGGCACACCGATCATTATCGACCGAGGGATATCCGGTGCTTGGCACCACCCGTCTCCGTAGCCAAGACGCCTGCCCTTTGACACTGTCTGCAGTGTTCATGCACCTCTTGTTCACGTACTTAATTTAACTACACGCCTGGGGTCAATCCCCGGCCATCTGTTGACTGGACTCACCCCCATCTCCACCAAACTAGCTCGACATTAGTTGCAAATCACACCTGGTCCGTGTGGTAGTCTTCTCCAATGATTCGGACACGCCCCTACCACAATAACTTGGCGGACGAGAATACCGAAACAACATGTCTGGCGATTTAATGGCCACCAGATGTGACTGCAATGCTGAATTTAGGCACCTCCATTGGCTGTATCGTACGCATCGCTGGAAACTACGGCCTAACGTGCCTATAATTCTCTGGTCACTACTGGCAAGGGAGAGGTAGGAGGACAGTACACCACCAACGGGCCACATGGACTTGTCGCGAAAAAAAACCCTGAATAATGATCTGCAGAGAGTTTCCTTAACAATCTCTCGAAAAAAGAATCCAGCCTTCATCTGATGTTTCCCACGTTGACCTCCCACCATTCAATGCTCCAGTCCCTAGTTGACAGTATCAGTCGATTCAAGTGACGTTGCCTCGGAGCCATTCCGTTTTGGCTCGGCTTCGCCTGCTTCACAATTCAACAAAAAGCACGAACCCGCGTCTTGGGCGAATCGATTTGGTCAGAAAGAAACGAGCATCGAGAATAGCCCACAGGGTGTTGGTGATCATACAATGCTCCGAACATCTGAACCACAATAATGATTAGTTACTTAAATCCGGGAAGAAGATTGCGCCATGTGGGCCCCGCGTGTCGTTGTCCAAGCGAAACTTGGTACTTCCCTATCACGATGCTAGCAAGAGCTCGATTATTACTGTACATCGGCGGGCAAACGGGAGATGCCGGTGAAGTTGATGTGGTGATCCGGCCGTCCACCGAAACCAAGGTTCCTGCAGCAGTTCGTTCTGTATGTCTTGGGTAGGCGATTACCGGGCAAGGCAAAAACACCTAATTGACTAACCACATAGTCATCCCCTTGCTTCCGCAGTTCGACGAGGTGTAGCCAGTTTCTCCAACGGCCCCTCTTTCCCCGGTACCGAAAGAATGAAGCCCCGACAAACTCGAGCGTTCCTGTGGCATAGTCGTTCTTCGCGCCTCCTGATTTGATGCCGAAACCTGGCTCGCGACAGCAGGATGAAACCAGCTGGCATGTGTCCAAATACATACGTCTGCCCACGACATTGTCGGCTTTTGTCCCCACATGCAAGCACAAGCACGGGTTTCCGAGGCGGAGGACACAAGCGGGCGAGGCGGGCCATCCACACTATTGGGTGCTGGGAGAGCCAGGCCCAAATCAAGCAGCATTGAGGCCAAATGCCAGCGTGGTGTACCACCAGACTCGCGCTGACCTTGCCTCAATTGGGACCGAGAAAGCGGCTGCAGGGGACTTTGGTTACGCACAGGGCCCTTCTCCGCCTCCGGCAGTCCAGGACTCGCCGTAGGCTTATCAGGACTTTGCGGTTGCTGTCGTATCTTAATCAGTTACTTGATTCTAGGTGACTTGCCCTACTATTGCCGTATCGACGTCGAGAAATGACTCGCATGTGTCCTGGCGCGCAAGGTTGTTCCAGAGGACTCTTGTTCGGCATGGCTGTGCGTGAACGGTGCCAAAACGTGCTTTGGGGGTTACGTCAGCGTCTAATAATAAGTTCCTGGCTCATATGTGCGATAATATCAACACAGAGGGGACGAGCTGCCAAGGCTGTACTGCAATGAGGTTTTGCACCTGGGCAACTGGGACTCACCCCCGCCAATGTGCAAGGATCTCAAGTGGTGCGAGTTCCTCGGGTTGCAGCGGCTGCATAAGTTACTTGTTTGTGCAAGTGCTCCGTATACCAAGTAGTGACGTTACAATTGTGCTCACGCGGCGGCGGCCGTCGGCCGTACATGCAATCACGTCACTCGCAGAATAGAGCGCCAAAGGCGCGATTGGTGATTGTGGTCGGGGCCCTAGCAGATTTCGGTCTGTGCACGCCAAAAACGCCGTTTTTGCGAGGCCTTGGGCTACGAAGCGAACCCGTACCCCAGGCCGGCACTGGAGCCACGCAGAGCCTCTGGTCCCTCTGCGGGTGGATATGCTACCGTCTGACTGTTTTCGTTCAAACCCAAATCGCGAACAACTTCCAAAAGCGAGTGGCCCGGCAAAAATAATGTCCTGCCGAGGTGTCATGACGGAACGTTGAATATTATACGGGATATCGACCATCGTGGGGAGTGGATAGCACCGGGCAATTCATGCTTGGCAGTCCGTGTAACACCCAAAGCTTCTTCAATTCAAGCCCCAGCCAAGACTGCAGCTTCAAGTTCCTGCAAGGACTGCGTGAGTACCACAACCTGACCCCCTCGTAACCCCCACTGTCTCCCACACCGACATGGATCGATGTCCGACTCTACCGTACTCAAGAGGAACCCTCGTCCCTGCCTGACAAGTGATATTTATATAGCATACGGTCCAATTCAGGTCATCTATATTAAACAACGGGACACCCAAGAATACACACGTACATTGTAGAAGTGCCCCGGGGGGGGGGGATCAGACTCCCGGGCCGTCGCCATCAACAGGGCTAGTGAATCTGTCACTCAAGGGGGGAAGGGGGTGTATGCCAAGATCACGACGGTCAAGTAAATAAGTGCAGTCATTCCAAATCAACGCTGCCGATTTAGCTGAACTACTTGAGCAGTCTGCTGAAGAAATCACAGGGCCAAATGCTGCTCGCTGTCAACATTCGAATGTCGAACGGGTCCTGCTGCTCGCTTCCCTGGCGCCGCCCAAACCTGATGAATTCAGTGGAAGTAAGCCCCGTCAACGGCCGCATTACCGTACATGAAGTGTGAAAAGGAAGAGAGCCAGATAAAAGGAGGGAGGGGGTTCGGGCGGCACAGGCCCTTCACATACTCCATGTCTCCCTTACGATTCGGATGCCAGCACCGTAAGGGTATATGCAGAAGCCTTCACAACTAAAACTACCTCAGGCACGCCTCCCAAACAAAAATGCCCCTCTAAAAACAGGGACAGCTGGTGAAGCACTACGCTGTTGGGCGAGCGTTTGCGTTTGGTCAGCTGGCATTGTGGCAAGGCTGGAGGCAGGAACCGAGCTGCAAGGCCGCAAGTCATCATTAGGAGCCGCATCTGCCTGCTGCAACTTCCCGTCCAGCTGGCCCTGGGCGGTCCGAGATGCATCTCGAACGATGATCAAGTCGTGCTTTTTAGCCAGGAGCAGGTTCTCAAGTTGAGCCAGCTTGTCTGCCCTGTATTTGTTGTGGCTTGGCTCTGGGGATATTTCCAGTTGATCTCCCATCACGCTGTCGTGCTGCTCTTGTTCCTGTTCCTGACCGTCTTGTTCGGGCTCGGCATCTTGCATGGGGAAATCAACCTGGTGAGAGACTCCGGGCTGCTCTCCTTCCAGTCCCGTCATGGACTCGTCTTCGTCATATGTATCACAAGAATCGCCATCCTCAAAGTCCTCTTCTCCATGTAGCAGTTGGAGAGTCGTCGATGCAAAGTCCCGCAGCCATTTCTCAGCCCGTTGAATTTCAAGAATCTGGCTCTTGCGCACCTTTTGCAGCCTAGCTTCTACAAAATCAATCTTCTCTTCGGCGTTCTGGACAAGGAGGCTCCACGTCTCCTCGCTCAAGCTTTCATCGTTTGCCAGCTTCCTCATCTTTGCGGCCCACATGTTGAAGCGCTCGCCGTCCTCGGTCTTGTACCGACGACGGAGACATTCTTCGCAAGACCATCTGTATTTGGCTTGCACAAGCACATGCTGAAGCTCCCGGGGGCAGATGGACTGCGGATCGCATCTATAAGTCGTGCAACGAAGCTTGTAAAGCTTGTGGTGCTGACATGCAAGATGGTGTAGCGTGGCAATGCAGCACGGCATCTTGCCCGTCTGACTGCTCGCAAGGTTGGCCGTGGTTCCGTTGTCATCCAAACGGGCGAGGCAATATCGATGACTGTAGTGCCGCGGATGATGTCAAAACAGGACCGCAGGGCCCTATGCTGGATTAGCTGGGGGCAGGCCTGGTGTAGGGACGGTGATGTCTTTATACCAAATAGTAGCCAAGACGTACAAGCAGCGTCGTTTTGCGCCAAGGCGGCTGCAGAGAAAGATGTAGTTCAATACCTGGCAGAGGATGTTGGTAATGTCTGTTGTCTGTGGACTAGTATATCTGGTTTTTTTAAAAAAGAAAAGAATGATTATTCGACGGCTCCTACACGAACAAGAGGGACGAAACAGAGAGATCAATATTGACGGCAGCCACAAGGACCAAAAGAGCCGCACAAAATCGGAAAAAAACACACTTAAAAAAAAGACCTTTCGAATGCGCACAACTTCGTTCCTGCTCGGGCCATTTGCCGGTGCGCCATGGTTGGCGACTGCCTCATGGCGCTGTTAACTTTCATGGCTATTCCTCATTGATGCTCACTACCGTTAGGTCTGCAGGCCGAAACTCCCATGACGAGCAAAGTGTCATTGTCCGCGCGTTTCGACTCTACAGCGGTTGAGTCTATTGCGCATTTATGCATTGTTGGATGGAGTCGTGGCGTAGTGTTCGGCCAATGCTTTGTTGGGCCATTGTTGTCGGTCAAAGTATACTTCGAGGTTTGTCCAGATGTGGCCTAATAGCCTGCCACGATGGGCAATCCAACTGTTCAGGTGTGCGTGCAATCGTTCGTTGTTTCAGTTAAGCGTAAACACATTACTTCATCGTCTGCTCATTATGGAAAGTGCTCAGGCCTGCACGTCACAATGGCCCCAGACAGACCGGTTTGACAAGCAGACGTGGCTCCGGCGGCAGTTGAGCGGCCTACGTGGATGGAGACGCGTGAAGCAGACGCAAAGGCGCCGAGAAGCACGCGCCAAGTATATTCAAGTATCGCTCCTGAGCAGTACAAAGTCAAATTTTGCACACTATGCTTCCCACGCAGCATCACAACGCCTACAATGCCGTCCCCCTTTTTTAATTCCCTCATGCAGTAGATGTACTCGGAGAGGGGAAATACAATCCAACACACAAGTCCACTTCCTGCAGAGGTGGCGTCTATCGTGATTCATTTGCAGAGAGGGGTGTAAGGGCCCGTCTAGCCAAGTCTGGGCTTATACTCCGGGAGCAAAGCGTCTGCGCAGCCAGCTTTCTGTAGCCGTCAAAGCTAGACGGTGTTGCGCCGCTGCCAATGCTGATAGACGTGCCACTCGGCTGTTTTTCGTTGGAAACCAACCCCTTTGTTTGGACAAAAGCGCTGGAACGGACGTGGTAGGGGTCGCGTTCGTAGTATTTGTCGAGGATGGGGTGTGTCATGACTGTTTGGCGGTGGATGGTGAGGATGGAGTTTGTAGGGACGTTTACCCAGTTTTCTGGCCATGTTAGCTGTATGACACGATCAATGGTTGCGTCTACTGCGGTATATTACCTCGTTCAAATGTTAGTGGCTCACTAGCGACGAGCACAATATCGGCTCCCTTGTCCTTTCGCTCCATCTGATACTGCCTGTCATTCGGATCAGATGTCCTCGTGGCCCACTGTGTCCCCGACGAATAGTACAGGCTGGCGGCTTCATCCTTGGAGCTGCTTATGTATCGCGTGCAGATGACGCTGTGGCCATCTGTCACAGCAAAGTTGAGCAAACTCCTAGTGTCAACATCTTCGCTTTGCAAGACATCCTGGGGGATCGAATCTGTCAACTCGTTGATCTGCGCAATAGTCTGTTCGACGGCTTTACGCAGAACGGTCGGTCCGAAGCCGTTTTCGGGAGACGAGCTAGGGTCATGACCAAGCCGTTCGAGAGTATCGAGGAATAAGGCAAATGCCCACTCGCTATCTGTACCGCCCTTTACTTCGAGATACCATTTATCCGCTAGTCGGTCGCCAAGTTTTCTCTTGATGTATTTCCAACCGCCAAGACCACCATTGTGCATCCACATCAAGCTGGCGTGTGTAAAGGGGTGGCAATTATCCTCACTCAAGGAGCCTTCGGTCGTGGCGCGTACATGGCCAAATATGAGGCGTGATGCCGTCTTGGATGCTATTCGCTGCAGATTTGTGCAGTTCCACGCTGGAATGGTGGATGTGAAGAGACAAGGCGCAGCGCCGAGCTTTGGATCCGTGTAGAAGCCTATGCCGAAGCCATCTGCATTGTTTTGGCCCCTACGAGTGTCCTGGCTACGGTCAGTACTGGGATTGAGGATGTGCAGCCTGGGACAGGGTGGCGTACTAGACGCAGGCGGGAGTCAAACGACTGCTTTAATATAGAATGTGTCGGGTCGAGAATCAGTTTCGAGAGGAGAATCTCGTCGCTCCCTTTGTATACCTGTTTTGGTTCGCGAATTCCCTCGTCAGTCCCCATGTCCGACGTCGGAGGAGATGCCGCGAAGATGCGGCCATTGCCTTACCAAGAAACGGCACATGATGTGTCAGAGCTGCGATGCACAGTCACAGGCTCAATGGACAAGGCGAGATAAGAACGATAACCGTTCATGAAAAAAAAAGGAGGAAGGGACGACCTCAGAAGGGCGAAGAAAACAGTTATCTGGCGGTGGGAGAGTTAGCGACTTGGCCAAAAGGTAAGCTGATTGTGAATCATATTTGTAAATGACACCATACTTAAGAACGTCTGGGCTTTGTGTCGGGTTGCCACTGTGGCTTTGCAGGATTGGTGGATCGGACCAGCCTACTAATCACAATTTACTAGCAGGCAGCCTATTTTATTCGGTGGGCAACGGCGAAGTTGCCAGAGGCCGTAGCGCAACTCTCTGGGTAAATAGTCTGCGAGAAAGTTTGTTCTTCCTAAAGGATCAAGTTAAAGTTATTGAGGGATGTATTGAGGAGACATAAGGAGCCAATGATTACTGATTGAAAACCCTTGGGTAACTCTTCACGGAGTATAATGTAATCTATCACGAGAAGTGGCACGTATCTGCTTCCGCTCGGTACCAGCTGCAAAGAATCGGAATTGGCGGTTGACTGCTCACTAAACGTAAGGTTTATGTCGCCAGATGGCTTGGGTTCCCTAGCTTGCCTGAGATAAAAACCAATTAAAATCAAAATTATTGATCAACAATTTGTTATGTTTGTTCATCCTCAGGCCACAGATGCCTGCCATGTCGAATGCTACATGCAATCACGCCTGTGGCTGAAGCTCCAGTCATCACTGCCGATTTACGGGCCAGTACTCCGTACTCCGTACGGAGCGCTGTATTGGTGGTTGCTTGTGGCGTCAGGTGCCGACAGCTCTTCTCCGTAGGGGGTCTAGGGTGTGGCTTAGGCGCTAGACTCGCCTGTAAACACAGTGACTGCCGTTGCTGAACGTCCGTCCCTGCTAATTGCCGGTTGACGCGAGATTCATTTACACGGTCCGCGTCTCCTGACCGCGTCTCGCCTGAGAACTCCACCCCCAGCCTCAACCATGGATCCTTGAATCCTGAACAAAACCAAAACTGTTGCAGGATCTCTCTCCTCTACTGATTTCGTATCCTTTACTTCTGCAAAACCATGAAATTGTCTATTCTAAAGTCTTCATGTTAATTTATAATTCCTTCAACTGTAATTCGACAGCCCGAGTCAATATCAAAATTCAACATTTCTCTCGCCACGAGCAGAATGCGCCGCCATGGTTCTTCTGCCCCCGACGTCTTGCCCTCGAGTCCCCCGGCCATGAGCTCTTCTCCGGCAAACCCTTTGCTATCTCCAACCAGAACGAGTCGTTGCAAGGAGAGACGGAACCCGTCCGTCACACCTAGAAGGTTTGGCCGCTTCTTCACGCCTCGATCAAACTTGCCATCCGAAAGCCGAGCTGCTTTACGAAGTCTGAACGCATCCGCTACCAACTGTCAACCCATTTCACCTCAATCACTCGCCAGTGATGTCTTCAGCTCGGACCCTATATGTCCTTCCTCACCAACTGAAGATTTGGGGCAGGTGGATGGCGCCGGACAGAAAAGAAAACGAATAGACCACTGTCGAGCTGTTCAAAAGCGGCGACGGGGCTTGATTGATGAGGATTTGACTCCTCCACCACTCCAATTTCCAGGAAGAAGCTTTCACATGTCACGGGATGGCAATGTACAAATGGTAGAGGCTCGTTCAGATACAAGAGAAGGCTTGGATGACAGACGGCGAGCCACTTTGGTGGGTGTCCGGTACTAGTGACTGATTTTATTTGAAGCATGCTAACCACTAGGTAAGAGTCACTTCTTTAAAGCTAGTCGCAGTGGAAGTATCACCGGCACGGGTGAAAAGTCATTTCCTGCCTCCCCTTGCTTTCAGTCGTCTGGACTGAGAACAAACCTGGTACGTCTGAAAACGCACGTACCCTTGATATATCTTCTAAGATGTCATAGACACTCGAAGGCTATCGACCAAAGCCCATTCGCAAATTTCGAAGCCGTGGTTTTGAAGCTCAGCTACTGGACCGAGAACACGGATTTGCTTCTCACCCTGGCAAGCAATATCTCAACTTTCCGGCCGGCGACCCTAGGACACTCACAGCTTCCTTTTGTAGCAAAAGTCATGACACGCACCACTGTACCTCATATACTAGTCAAGGAAACACGATCCCATTTAGCCTCGCAAGCTGCCACAATGCTCCTGTGACCGTCATTGGCGATGAGCAAGGTTTTGTGCGGCTGTTCAATACTATCGCTGTAGATGGGCCTGTCGACTCCAAGGTTGATGCCCATATCAAAGTCCACGATAATGCAATTATGGATTTGGACTTGTCCACGGATGATTTCCGACTGGCAACAGCTTGTGGAGACCGGACTGGCAAAATCGTCGACGTGGTCACACAGTCCGTTGCAGTTGAACTGGCCGGTGGACACTGGGATTCCCTCCGACAAATTGCCTTCCAGCCGGGCGCGGCCAACGGCACGGCTCTCGCTACATCAGATCGAGCTGGCCGTGTCCAAATATGGGATTTGCGTTGTTCGCAAGTACCAATACACTGCTTCTCAACAGCCAACCCCAACGGCACCGGCAACCGAGACACCACCCTCGACCCCATCGCTGCTAAAACAATCAACACCATCGACAATGCCCACGAACGCAGAGTACAGGGCGTAACATCTGCAGCCTCCGTCACCGCCATACAATGGCTACCCCCCGGTAGGGAACACCTCCTCCTCACTGCCTCCGAGGCCAATGCCTCCATCAAGCTCTGGGACACGCGATACATCAAGCCGCGCCGTCAAGCCGAGGAAACACCACTCGCCATGACGCCGCAGCCCATATCCCACGCATGGCGGTCCTACGGCATCACATCCCTGGCCCTCAGCACCGACGCCTCCCGTCTCTATGCCGTCTGCAAAGACAGCACCGTATACGCCTACTCTACATCACACCTGATGCTCGGTCACGCCCCCGAACTGGACAACTTTGCACCCAAACGCAAACCGTCCGGGGCAGAAGGGCTTGGGCCTCTGTACGGCTTCAGGCACGACCAGTTCCGGGCCTCGTCCTTTTACGTCAAGTGCGCCCTGCGCCACCGCACCCCCATGAACAACTACCAGCATGAACTTCTGGCCGTCGGCAGCACCGACAGCTGCGCGGTGCTCTTCCCCACCGACGAAGGCTACCTGTACTCCAGCTGCGCTAAACACGCACATGACCTCGAGAGAAGCACGAGTACCAGCGCGCTTACACCCTTGCAATCCTTCTCCGCAAACACACCCACGTCGGCGGGCACGGGGCCGTCATCGTCACCTATTCCTATCTTCCGCGTGGGCACGCCCCTAGTGCGCGGGCATTCCCGTGAGGTGACGAACCTGAATTGGTCGCACGACGGGAAGCTGGTGACCGCCTCTGACGACTACTTTGTTCGGCAGTGGCAGGCGAATGAGGCTGAGGCAAGGCATCTCAGGCAGGTGGGTGAGTTTGGGGGCGAACGACACTTGGCTGGATGGGCGGAGGTAGGACCTGCTTGGGATGATGATGAAGCATAATGACTTTACGCATACTGTGGTTTTTTACATGGCGCTGGAATGGCATACAGGAGCATAGCAACAGTGAACATTTTGGCAACTTTACAAAACGATATTTCAAGTTTCTATTTCAATATTTAAAAAACAAAACACGAAAAATGGTGTTTGCATGCAAAGCTATCATCTACTACCGTAATGCTACACTAGGAACTTTGGAGGTCACCCCGACTCTCCAACGCATCATGCTGTGAAACCTCAGCCGCCATCTCCAGATTCAATGATACTACCCCAAATTGTACCCCGACGCTGACGCTCGCTTAACAACCGAAAATACTTCGGCTAGGCGAGAGAGGGGGGGGAACGCCACAAATGCCGCTATCGTGTACTCGTGCCTGCTTATGTACACAGAATCCCTGGCCATATAAAAAAAAGCAATAAAAGAATGCGGCTTGCGCCACCACGCCCGATGACAAGAATCCGCCGTGCCCAGCCCGTAGACTGGAGCCCCGGCTTTTAACGACAGGCATTCGAGATAGGACCATTTGTCTACTCCGAAGATGCGGCCCGGCGACCCGAGAAGAGGACCCCAGCGACGATGATCCCGATTGCGACCCCCAATACCCAATTGGTGACGTGTTCTCGACGAAGGCGCTTCGAAGCCATCCTGAGGCTTTCTGTCAGGTCTGCCGTCGAGTCCGCCACGCCGCCGAGGTCGCTTCGTGAGGGGTGAGGGAGTGTCTTTTCGAATCTCACGGATTTGGATGACGCGGGGCAGGGCTCCATGTCTGTGGTGGAGGGCATGGTTGGGTGATTATGCGGCTCGGAGGCGAGTGCCTCCTCGGGCATGTGGGCAGCGGGTGTTTTGCTGTCCCCTGATTTGGGGTCGTCTCCGTTGTCGCTGCTGCTGCCGCTTGACATGCCTGACATTCTGTTCGACGAGCTCCTTGCACTGCGTTCTTTTGCGACAACCACGCTGTCCCGGAAGCGTAGGAGCATCAAGGGGTGTTTGATTGTGGAGGCGGCAGATTCGACAGAGGTTGGGCTGTCAGCAGGTGGTTTGATCGGGCCTGTGGCCACGACGGTGTCCAGCTGGGCGACTACCAGGACCAGGTTTTCGAATATGCAAATCGCCTCCTGCACAATGTCGTGCTTTTCCTGATAGCTCAGCGTTGCGTCGCAATCTGCTAGCTTCTGCTTGTAGTCTCGCTTCAAATCTTCGCCGTCTTCGGGGGTGTCAAAGTGGAAGAAGCGAAGCGGCAGGCAGCCGTGGGAGCGGCGAGGCCATGTCTCGGTTTGATGGTTCTGTGTCCCGTCCGCAAAATCGTCTTGGCTTGGCCGTGAGGTTGTTGGTATTGCAGAAGAGGCTGTCGTATCCCAAAATTCCTTGCCCGCAGACTCGAGCGTGGCCCGTATAAATCGCCCTCCGGCAAAGAGCGCCATGTACATGATGTACGAGTAGGCGAGGAGAACATGAGGCTTGTTCTTGATGGCGCGCTTGATGTGGCTGACAACTTCCGCGAGATGGCCTGTTTTGCTGGTCATTTCGAGCTGTTCCCTCGTCGCGGCGTCCGTCCATCCTGCCATGGACTGAATATCCGCAACAAGCCGGTCCGCGCGCATCAAGCCGGGAATGTACAATGCGTTCAGCATTTCTCGCAACTGATCCGAAACAACCGGTTTGCTAGGCTTTGATCCGCCCGAGTCACCTTGGCCATGCTCGCTATACTCCAGAGAACCGTGGACAATAACACTCCATATTGACTCGAATGTCGTATAAATAGGGGCGATGTGCAGTAAACCAGAAGCATATACAAACGGATCCCCTGCCTGTGGCGGCAAAGCCAGTGGAAGCCTTTCAATAATCAGCTTGTTAAGTCTGGCGTGAATACTTCGCGTGGCGATAGCTATCGACTCGGCCAGCGGCCGATCCCGGCGAAACGAATCTAGAGGAATGGATGTCATGGCTTTTTCTTCGTTCCGGAGTGTAAAATATGTTTCTATAACAAGAGAAAAAAAGAATCTTTCGAAAGGGAAGAGGCTATTTGCAACTTGGGATTCTTCGTCTTAGGTTAGTTTGGAGGCTGAAGGAAACAGGCACGAACGAGGAAGAGAGTTCAGCGTGCCTGATAAACGCAGACTGGCCCGAGTCGGGGTATGGAGTGGCGAAAACGGTAGTAACTACCCAGTCGAGTCTAACTTCGTTCAGGTTTCACCAATACAGAGAGTTATTCCAAAGAAGACTCGAGTCTCCCCTCGTGTAAAAATATCTATGTTGTGACACTTTCGTCTCCATCCACCAAGAATGTCCTTGATCATAGGTAGCAAGGGCCCATGCGCGGGAGAAGGTTGCTGACGCAGATGAGCTTTGTCCGTTCACTTCCTCCCAAGTTGGGTGCAACGTGGAATCTGTTTCGCGTTGCTATTTTACATTATGACTTTGCGTTCCTCACTGGCCTGACGGATGACAAGGTCCAACTTGGTGACATTGACACTCGGCACTGTCAAATGAAGCAGTGGTGACACATTGTGATGCTGCGTTGTATAGGTCGACGTCGTGGCACAGCCATAGAACTCAGACAACTAGAAACCGCAGCTGATGGAGAGAACATGAATAGCGGCAGGTTGGCCTCGATTCCAAAGTTGGCGACTTGAGGGACGGCAAGCCCGAAACGATGTTATCAACCGTCACCAGGCTCGACCGCTGCGCTGGCCTGTGTTGAAAACGCCTCAGCTTTAATACCTGGGGCTCAGAAACGAAGTTGAAATGACCAGGGTGTTGTTGCTCAGGAGTCAGACCCGTACTGCGTTCGCTACCGATTTTGCGGATCTTGGATAGCCCCAGACCGCAAAAGGCGTCTTGTGTGCCAAGATTGTCAACTGGCCGTGACGAGAGTCGTATTGGTGGAGATGACAGAGTAGAGAGGCGGGAGACGCGGGAGAGGCAGCACCCGTATAAAATGAAGAGCCGGATGGAAATCACAGAATGCCATGAATGTCTGCAAATCCCATTTTCACCCGGTCCCCCTGTTCCTGTTGATGCCGCCCGCTTTTACGGACCTGAGGCTCCGCAGATCGAGGAATTCGCGCGCCATCGGGGGTACCAAGAGCATGGGTCGTCCTCCACTTGCACTATCTACTAGGCATTTAAAATATGGGTAGCCATCTAACGATGACAGCAAAAATACAAGACGCCGTGGTCCAAAAAGAAAGAATTGACATGATTCTCCCTTTGCAAGATGCGCTCGGCGAGCCAATGCAACCTCACTTAATGAGCGTGGGGAAGGGGGCTGGAGTCGTCGGCGATGAATCCGAATGGGTCAATGTTTTGGCGGTCCACTGCAACACTGCAACGGCCAGATGTGGTTATCACATCGATTCCTGTGCCTGGCATCCTGGGCAGCTGTTAGCAGCTGGTTTCCAAGGCTCTGGTCATGGCAGAATGCAGTCTGCGAGACATTTCGCCGTCGCCGAAATCGTCACGATGGTTATGCAAGCGCTATCTCCATCTTGAAGCCCCTATGCTCATTTATATCGTTCAGCGTTCTGCCCGATCATTCTCCCTTGTATCCCCATCTTCCATGCTCTCATTATTAATAAAGACAAATGACATGAATACCACCACTGCGCCGATCCAATACATAAAGCTTGAGTACTGTCCATATTGTATCATCTCCCCGATCAAGGACAAAGGGATGGTGAGAGAAAGCCCAACCGTCACGACCAGCGGAGTGGTTAAGAGCATAGCAAACGCCCAAGAAATGTCACTGACAAATGAGGCCAGCGAGTTGACCTGGGCATTGTCAGACCTAAGCATGTCCCAGTCCACGAGGGGTCGACTTACAATTATGATCATCCAAATCTTGCCAGAGGGGGGCATTTCAAACTAAAGCCAGCGTCAGTCGGCGAGCATTCACAATCAGAGGTAAGCAGACTCACAGGCTCCATATTGGTCCAATGCAAGATGAAAAATAGCGGCCACAATAGGGCTAGATTAAACACGCCCACCAAGCCAAAGAACAACCGCATGTCGACTTTATCCTCGTTACCGACCCGCCTCTTCATCACCGTAATATACATGCCGTAAATCACGGCACTGAGGAGCGCCATTGAATCACCAATAGCAACCTGTCCAGTTGTCTTGTGCGGGAAGGATCCTCTGTTCTCGTCGCTTTCCCCAGTCAAATCAACAGTCGAAATCAACACCACGCCAACAAGTGAGGCCAAGACGCCACTGAGTTTCCGCACCGAAAATGGGTCGACGCGGAGTAACGCGCAAAAGACCAATGTCCACACGCTGCTTGTGGACGTAAGAATCGTAACGCTCGCCACGCTAGTGTACTCTAAACAGGCTGATGCAAAATAGTTGGCAAAGAACCAAAGCATGCAAAATTCCAAACTGAGAATCGCTGTTTCGCGCAAGCTCAGTTTTTCGTCGAGTCTGGGGACGGCCTCTACAGCCGTCTCGCCGCCCGCCATCAATCTCTCATTGCCGAGGTCGTCGTCCTCTGTCGCAGCTTTCGTGTATGAGCTCTGTTGTCTGTATTCTGTCCACATTTGAATCAAGTCGTGGCGCATGCCTCGTATGCCAGTCCTGAGCAAGTATTTCGTAAACATTGGTATCAATGAAATCGCAAAGATGGAGGTATTTATGTAGACGAGGAAGAATGGCTTATCGTATGTGTGGTCGGAAAAGATGAACTGCGGCTGGTTAGCCTTGCCCGAAACGAGACGAATCCAAGGATGGCCAACTCACGCTCGCAAGAAAATTGGACAATGTCCATAGAAAAACCGTCACCAGTAGCAAACAGATGCCTAGTGTCCTTCTTGCCACGCCTCCCAGGCCCATGTGAGCCCAAAAAGCAGGCTGTTTCGTCGGCAACGGCGACTGCGACCCTAGCGAATCCGTTGACGCTATCATTTCGACCGCCTCACCCCTCTGGCCGCTGGGCAATCGCCTATGGTTCGCGTCGGCTGCATCCGCGGAGCCATCGAAGGCGTCCTCGCCAGCATGTCGTAGGTTTGAAGTCGCCATGGTCGTTCATTTGGCGGCGGCGGCGGCGATAACGACTGGCGACAACGACGCTGAGACGATTTTGAGGATGCTGTAGTGTCCGGGCGGTAAATAAAGGAGGCAAAAGGTCACATGTGCAACTGTGGCACAAGGCCAAGGGCACAATTAGAACTGAATGGCAACTGCAAATCGAAACGAATGAAGCGGAAACACTATGTCGGCCGGAAACCTCTGTATTCCAGGTCGCCCTGCATGAGTGAAGCTCGACTCGGTGAATTCAAAGGTCTGGTCCAAATAGAGATGGAGATGACGAACTTCCAAGTCGGGCGCCATAGGCACATCCAGTCTGGTTGTTGTTCTATGTTCCGACGGTGCCGTCATTGGATTTGAGAGGGCTGTCATTCGCTGGGAGGGTACTAGGGCCCTGGGCGGGAAGCGGCGGGCCAAGGCACTAGCAACTTCCCGCGGCAGCCTGTTGAGCCACTGTTGGGCCAACGACGGGCGCTCAGGTGTGTCCTTCGGTTGCCATGCGGCCAAGATCCGAATCTGCCCAGCTGCTTCGTACATACAACCCCTGAATTATTGTCAAAAGGGTACCTACCAGGGATAAATTAAGCCAATCAAGTATCAGTTTTTTTCGTTGAACAAGGATATGAAGCTACCTGTGGATACATAAAAAACAAGTAAACTGCACATAAAAAAAAGTCTTTTTTAATTCGGTTAATCCCCTATATTCCCTTGAATGTGTTAAGGTACCGCATTTGTATCTACTCTAGAATACCCTTTTCGAGTACTTCTACTTGCATTAGTCTTAATAAGCCTAATAAAATACTATCGAGTAATACACTAGAAACGATTAAGAGTACGTTTATTATCACAATTAATACGTGAGTATATATACTTACCTAACACTTAATTCTCATTGGATTTTATCCTCGTAAGGGGCTTCGCTGGCACCTTAACACATTCAAAGGAATCCCTTGAATGTGCGCAGGTGCAGTGACTAATGTACCTTGGCGCGCCAAGGGATTTTCTGGTGACTGTCTCTGGCTATCAGCTATATCAAGACAATTGATCAGATTTTTTTACTTAATATATCAGACGTTAATAGCTGGCGACAGTTTCGGACTTGTAGTTATGCTGTCACCAGAACCAGGGGCCGCGCGCGTAGGTAGGTGCTCCACTATTTCTGCGATACTTATTCAGTACCTAGGTATCTACCTACCTAGGTAGGTAGGTACTTCACGTTCTTATAATAGATTACCTTCTTATATGCCTTAATGTAACTCTTTATATACTGGGATTATTAATGTTTTTCTTATCATATTATTTTTAAGTGGCTTTTTTTTGATTGAATATTTTCAATTTATTTAAATTCCTGTTTATTATAAAAATAGCACCTGCGTGCATTTAAAGGGCTGGAATATTATGATTCTTCTCAAATGTACCCACAGAACATGGTAGTTTATGTGTTCATCAGAACCGATCATGGCACAAGTAGCTTACCATCAAGGCCAAGGCTTTCGGATCGACTGCAGCTTGTGACTATACTTAACAATAGGGCCAAACCTGATCATTAGAGACTAGGTACAATATGGCTTGCCAAGTTCATGGTGTACCAAGTACAGCCTTGGGCATTCCTCAGGTTTCTACACACCTAAGTGTGCTTCAGATGTATGCAAACTTGACTTATACCATGAGCTCAGTCACTAGAACCACGGCATATTTGCTGTGAGACTGAGACGACTGTTACATGAATTTTACTTGGCAATGCAAACCTTTTGCTATTGTGTATGTTGACTGACAAGTATCACACCTTTACAACCATGGCATCAACATCCAGGCCCTTTCCTTCCACCAAAACACCAGCCTTTCTAAGTACACTCACACAGTTTCGCACAACCTCATCCTTCACGCCCTCCGTGTGAGCCGGGAACTTGACCGTCTTGAGCCACTCCCTTGCGTCCGGCTCCGTGTACCCCAGCTCCGTAGAAATGTACTCAGCTGCCTCGTCTTGATGCTCGTTGAAGTGCTTGATGCCCTGGTCAAGCTTCTCAAACAGCGTCTGAACACGGGCATCCCCGCTCTTGGTCAACTTGGTAGATGCAACAATCTTCCAGCTGCTCCATGGAGTGTAAATTTCACCAACGCGGCGGATCTCACCCGAGTCATAGTACTTCTTGGACGTAAAATGCTCCCACATGAAAAAGTCGGCTTCGCCAGAATTGACTGCATTGCGGAGGTTCTCGAAGTTGTGCAGGACAACCGTGTCGGAGAAGTGAGTCTTGTCAGCAAGCCAGCCTTGCTGGTCTGCGAGGACAAAACCCATCACGTAGGACCCAGAGCCAATGCGGGACACGCCGATTTTGCTGCCTTTCAGAGATGCTACGGATGTGATTTCCGAGCGTTGAGCTCCCGTTGAGATAGCCCAGCCTGCAAGTAGGTGAGTTTAGCTGCGAGTTGGCCCATGTCAAGGAGTGTGCTTCTTGAGGCTTCACATACAAAGCGGAGTGTCGACATATGTGCCAACAAGGCGATATCCTCCATCGCCTTCAAACCCCTCTTTACCGAGTCCCGCAATCCATCCCTCTGTCAGGCCGATACCGATGTCAATCTCACCTGCACGGATGGCAGTGACCATGTGTCCAGTGCCGGAGGGGAAGGGTATCAATGTGGCATGGAGACCGTAGTGTTTCTGGGCGAAGTGGAGGGGGGTTGAAAAGTGCTCGGGCACAAAGCCGATTCGCAGGGCTTCTGATGACATTTTGACGTTTGGGCCGGGCAGACCTGATTGAGTCGGTGTTGTGAGAGATTATTCCTGGTGGTGGGGGAGAGGGGGCCGTCGGGTGAGTGCGGCAATACTAGTTAGTCGTCGTGAAGCAGACTGGAGATTCAATGCTCCATTTTCAGTTGGCACAGAATTTGCGAACAGGCACGACCAGACCCGGGGTGCCTTTTTTCAAAAACGATTCCGGCATTACGTTGTAGGTAGTTGACCTCATCATAAATATGCGTCGATATAGGGTAATCGAGTGCATTTCCACGTGGATGGTTCAGCCCAACGTCGAGCAAGTCACCACCAATCAAGAAATGCGGGTTTGCCTGCTGCCAAGTATACGCTAACGTGCCATCATACGGTACAGCCTGGCTCGCGATAGCACAGTACTTTCGCTAGTGGAAGAGTAGTTTTCGTCTCGATGTCGCCCCCACCACAGGTTAAATCCGAGACCCAATCCGCAACAGTCCATGTGCCAAGAGTAACTCCGTTTGTAAATAAGTACACGTAATCCATCAAGTCGGGTTCAGTGCTGGGAATACGATGAGCGGATGGAATGCCAGGGCTGAAGGTGGCTTAGCGCCGCCGCTGACATGAGTGGATGTATGGCTCGCATCTCTCATGGCTCTTTCCTCGTGGTAGAAATCAATCTCCAGCTGAACAGCTCAACTGCTTGACCCAAGACTTCAAACTTGGCATCAAGCATCTCTCGCTTTTGGGGGTGGTCTTAACCTCTGAGCCGCTTCCATGTCTCGATTTCATTCCTTTGAATTCTAGCAAAACACTTCCACACGATTTGCGACCCTGTTCATCCATATATTCTCAGCAAAAGCCGCACCCAGATATATGCACCATGTCCGAGGTCGAGCTTGAATCAGAAATGGAGTGGGAAGAGGACACTCCGTTCCTCGCCCATGATGAACGGGAGCAAGCGGATGCTGGCATTGAGCCAGAAGCAGCGCCCACTCATGGACAACCCCGTGAGCCGTTACCAACGAGACCTCTTATCAGGGCCGCGCCATGGCAAGCCAAGACCCCCGGAACCATTGTGTTTCTTGCCGCTGTCATGAAGTTTTGCATTACATCCAGTGGCATGCTACTTCTTATCCCCGTATATCGACTGCTTGAAGATGCGCTTTGCCATGTGTATTATGAGGATGACTCATATGATATTATTGACGAGATGAAATGCAAAGTAGACGACGTGCAGTCGCGGCTGGCGTCTCTAATTGGGTGGTGCGGCTTGTTTAATTCCGTCATGAGTGCGTCTAGACGCCCATACCGTACACATTACAAATGCAAAACGCTGACGCTGTTTAGCATTGCTGGTCACTTTCCCTTACGGCATGTTGGCTGACCGTATTGGCCGCAAGCCCACGGCTGTCCTTGCTTATGTTGGCCTTGCCATTTCATTCAGTTTCACGCCGCTCATGTTTGGCGTATTCCAAGACACCCTTCGTCGAAACCCGTATATTATCATGACGGCTTCGCTCTGGATATTGCTAGGCGGCGGGGTACCAGTCTTGCTTAATACCTTGTACGCGGTTGCCGCCGATGTCAGCACCGAGCAGCAAAAGTACGTGTATTCGCGAGTGACAAGCATGGCTCACCCTTCCCATTCGGTCCCGATAACAAACACTGACAATTCAGGACAGGGCGGCTAGCTTCTTATATCTCACCTTTGGGGCTACTCTTGGCGGCCTTATCGGTCCTCTACTTGCTGGTGTTTTGATGACCAACTTCGGGCCGTGGGTGCCCGTCTACGTTGCCTTGACTGTTACGCCATTTATGCTCTGCGTCTTCTTTTTCATCCCAGAGACATTGAATGTGGAGACGAGGACGTTGAGGAACAAGGACCAGACATTCGCGCAAGCCTTCAAAGAGCATGTCGGCAAGGGTCTGGACGATCTGATGCACTCTGTGGACATGATTAAGAATATCAACATCCCCCTTCTACTGCTCACGTTCTTCTTTCAGTCGGCTAGATTCGCAGCATATACTTCGGTATTGGCACAGTATATTAGCAAACACTTTGGATGGAAGCTTGCCGAGACAAGCTTGCTCCTGTCACCGCTGGGTGTCCTTAACCTCATTATCCTGGTCGCATTACCCAAGCTCTCGGAGATTTTGGTATCACGTCGATTCAAGTTCACAGTATTCGGGAAAGACTTGTTCCTCACTCAAGCATCGACGTTTCTCATCATTCTTGGCGCCCTCATAGAAGCCTTTAGCCACAACGTAATCCTCTTTCTTTTCGGATTGTTCATTGGAACATTCGGTGCTGCCGATAGCCCACTCGCTCGAGCCACGGTATCACACTATGTTGATGCCAAGTCCATCTCGAAACTGTACGCCCTCATTGGGATGATGGAAGTTTCGGGTTCATTCATTGCCGGCCCGGTGCTGGCGAAGCTGTTTAATATCGGCCTAGAACGCAAGGGTATCTTCATCGGCCTGCCCTGGTTCTACATGGCGTTCTTGTGCGGTATTGCATTCATGGCGTTGCTGTTTGTGCGACCGCCGCCTGGTAACAAGGGTGCGGGTGATGAAACCTTTCATCGCGAACCTGGAGTTGTGAATGAATCGACAACGGAAGACCCGTTGTGTCCGGAATGACGGATGAAAAAGAAGGAATTTTTACGGATCAAGTCTAATACAAGATTTATGCTCAAAGATATAGAAAGGGTGATTCTTGTTTATTTTTCTTTTTCACATTAGCAGCAGATAGAGTACGGTTCACAATATACCAATATAGAGGGCATGCAATGCCAAGACACATACCACTGCGTCATACTCGTATAGTCAACCTGGAGGGTGCTCTGGGCCAAACCAGTGTGCACTGAACATGTGTACTTTTTCTTGCGCGACGTGCACAGGGCTCATGGGGAGTGAGGAGTCAAGGTTGACTGGGTTTGTAAAGTATCCTTTGCCGATTGCATATACAATACCACTTTCACTAGTGACTATAGGGATACATCTACCTCTGTATTGCCGATCAGATGGTAAAGGCGGAATAGCCCTGCAGAGCACCAATAGCCCCAACAGCAACAGCGTTGCTCGCTGCCCCATTCTTCGAGTACCACCAGCCGCTCGCCCACATGATGGCAATCATGGCTCCGGCAATGGCCTTTTGGACGGGGTCCCGTAGGAGCGCCGGGTTCTTGGACCAGGCGTAGTTGATGAGAGCTGAAGGGAAGGGGGGGGGATGTCAGCGAAGGAGCTTGTACATAGGGAGCGGTTGTGGACGTGCCGTTCATGATGAAGAAGCCGCTTCCCTGGTACCAGCCTACTTTTGCGCAGGCATACGAGAGACGCGGGAGGGTCTGGAACTTTGCATTTGCCTGCCAGTCCTTGGCGGACGTCTGTCACGGTGAGTAAGCGCTTGCGCGCGTGGGCTGGTTGAAGCCGAAAGACGTACGGTGTGTCCCAGCGAGATGAGCAGCCATCCCGCCGAGGTGATTTGGAGCGCTTTGGACATTTTGGCCGTCGTTAAGGGGAGCGGACGAGGGGAGCGGGATGAGGTTTGATAATGTTGACGGGTGTTTTGCGTATGGAGACGGGGGATGGTGTTTATGAGTGGGTGCGCAACCTCGGCTTGGATGGGGTCGAGTTGCTCCGTATTCTCCGCTACGGGGATCGTGGAGGGATAAACGGCGCGGTGGAAAATTGAGCTTCCACGTGTCCGGGGGGCCATGTATGTACAGTGGGAGGCAGAAAGTGTTTAACCGGATGAGGTAACTGACTATAGTGTCAGGCTCTATGCATTACAATATATGGTAGTATGCTAGTGTATACTTGTTACGAGGCAAATAGATCCTGCCACCGATTGTATCTATGAGCGGTAACTACCTAGATACCTAGTACCTAGACTTATAAACTAGGCGCGTGAGTTGATGTCATTGGTCGATGGAGACACAGAGCTATATGTAAGCACTGGTGGCGGCGTCAATCTTCATAGATGGCATTGCTGAAGAAATAGCAATGTTTCTTTTGCTACTCTGTGAAATAAATCGCGTTGGTAGTAAAAAAAAAGGAACATCCTGCAACAATGCCATTTGAGGAAATTTGTCCTCGAGCAAAGCTGGTCGCGGTGATGCTTGCTGACCTGGGTTTTTGCTCCATTGAATCGCCTCTGCTTGGCCTTTCTTGTCTTTGGAAGCAAAGAGCGGGTGCTTTCCTCATAAGACTGACAGGTAGCAAGTACTAAAGAGACTAATTCACGCGAAAAATACGAATATTATATGAGAATTTGTGCATAGGTTCGGATGAGTTAGTCTCTTTCTTGTCTACTACCTGTCAATTTGGTGATTGTTGCTGGCCTGGGTCTATGGTTCATTGAAACATCTTATGCTTGAGTCTTTGGAAGCAAAGAGTGGTCGCGCTTTTCACTCCGAATTTACAAGTAGGAAATAGGAAATAAGAGTGAGACTGATTCGTAGGAAATGCGTCATCTTGAAGGTTTTGTGTTGGCCTTCTTGGCAAGTGTGTTTGAACGTCCTCAAGACATGCTGGAGACTCGGAGAGACTGTGAAAAACTCCCCCGTCTACGAAATCAGTGCTGTCTCGAACCATGTATTCACAGCGAGTTGCTTGACCGGCACTCTAAACTATATAAATACCCCCCAAAGTCCAGAGCTACTCTGCTCTCTGGCGAGAGTCCATCTCCACCATTCTTCTCCCGACGATTCAACCAGAAAGCGCCGGACCAGTCTCTGAACAACTTTTTCAAAATGTGCGTCGTCAGCCGTCGGGCGGCCAAGTGCACCAAATGCCAGAAATCCGTCATTCAGTACAAACCTCTCAACCCGGCCATTCCGTGTCGCAATAAGCCTCAATTCGATGGCTATCCTTGTGACAGCCCCGAGACCATAGTTAGGAGATGTGAAACGGTTACGGGGAGTTGCGGGTGTGACGGGAAAGAGCCATGCTCGACGTTTCAAATCCAGGACAACGTGAGAAGAATGGTGGCCCTTTATATGGCTCATGATTCTGACCGCTGACTTTTTTGATGTAGTCTCCTGACAGTTGGGTGCCGATCCAAGTAGGTCTAGAGGCGGCGGTGGTTGAGGACTGAAGCCATGCTTACCAACTTTTAGCCCACGGATGACAGCGTACGACGAGCGAAGCAGGTAAGAGACGCAACGGCTCGCTCTTTTCTAGTATTATGCTGATGTAATTGATAGCTTGGCATGCACACATGGCCTGATAAAATTTGGCCAAGGGCAAGTCAACCGGCCGTGCCGTCTGCTTAAGAACTGGACTAACATGCCTTGTAGAACGCTTCTAATTCTTAAACCAAGACGATACGATGGAAATTGCGGTGGGGATTTTGAGACTGGAATATTGGATATAGAACGAGCTTGCGTTCTCAGTCTCTGTATTTGCGGCAGTTTGACGTGTTGTGGCAGGTTTTTATTCCCAATAGAGGGTTTTTCCTGCAAGTCTTGGTGGAAGGGTGCTTGGGAAAGCAATCGACAAGTCATATAGCGTGGTTGAATATTGACAACATTGCGCTTCAAGGTTGAGAGTGTGACCTCGCGATGATAGATTGATTTCCGGGGCCGAATCGCATGGCCACTTTGGTCTCTTGGTTGGCGATTATGTTTGATGGATAAATTTTGCAAGGTGTATTTGCTAGTACATGATGAACCAGACGGGCCCGACGGTCCGCTTTACTTGAGAATACTGAAGAGATGGTGGCAAATGTAGCTCTGCTATGAAAACGCCACTGGCTAGCATGTTGGCCTCTGAATGCAATTGTTGATCTTTAGAGATGCTGCTAGAACTGGCCTCGGCACGGTCCATTGGACGGGCCAATACATCCTTTTGACTATGGACGCGGCGGGAGCTTGGCAGAAAGACGGCGCGTCTGGTCTTTAAGCTGCGAGACAAGCTCGATGCTGCATTCGCCGTAGAGTCAGGGTTCTCATGGCTTCATCCTCTCTCCGCTACAATGCCTTTGCGACAAGGCGACACCCAAGAAACACAGCTAGCGCCAGCAGAAACAATGAAATGACCACGTCAAGTACAACATGACAAAGACTATACTTCACTGGATCTCGTCACATGTCTCTGCACAGAGCAAATTAGTTGTATTGCGTGGCAGACCACCGGGAAGCGCAACTCACAGAAGAGCCAGCGTCACGTCGCCGTGGATTTTTGCGCGCAATTGAATGTCAACGTCTAAATTCAGGTCGAGTCTGAGTTTCAGAGGATTCGACTTTTCGGACACCTGGGCCACGGCCTGAATCTGCGGCTGTTGAACCTGTAGTTGTGGCGGTTGTCGTGGTGCAATCTGTCTTGCAACTTCCTCCTCGGCATCTGGGACTAGTGAGTATCGTCATGGGGTTGTGATCGTTTTCGACTAACCGCTGCTGTAATCTTGCACCATTTGATGCTTTTCCTGCACCGTTGGACCCTGCGACTAGTCAGGCATGTTGAAGTATTGCAGTCACATGAGGATGTGGGATATACCTTTGCAGCCATGACGATGAAGATTAGTGTTTTGAATCAACTATGTACGAGTTCAAGACATGGAAAGAGAAAAAAAGGGGGAATCTGGACGCGGCTTCACTACAGGCGTTAGGCGAGGTTTAAAGTCCAGAGTTGACATTGTAGCTACGTTGTCTCCCGACGTTCGTTTCAACCAAAGGTCGAGCCGTGGGGGGAATCAAACATGATGTCACACGGTGTCATGCCATGGCATTGCCAAGTGACAATCTTCAACCCTGTTTGACCAATGCCAGAAACTTGGCAGATGGACGGGTGGCTGCGCAGATGATTGCACGATGGCAGACCTTGATGATGACAATGGCTCCACCGCTCCAGTGTGGCGCCTTGGGGCTTCTGTGAAGACGATGAATGTGGGATATGGGGAAGCCATGTTCTTTGATTCGACATTCGCATCGTGTCGAAGAAGCCGCCGCTTGCTGCACTTTGCAGTCCATGGGGAGGCGGGCGGAACGGACTGCCGAGATGCATGATACATCCCTTGTCCGTGACCTACTTGCGAAGGAAGCTAGTCGAATAAGTAGACGAATCACGACTCACGAGTGTGACATGTATACCAGGCTTGCCGTGCTACGGCACTGTGTCCATGTCATGAACGTTGTGGTTTCCTTTGAACTGCCATGACTCTCAAGGCATTACAATATTCGCACATTTAGCAACGAATTATTGGCAGTTTAAGCCCATAGTCTAAAACAAGAGATAAGAACCAGTCAAGAATTGCTGGGGCCGCGAAAGAATTCTCAAGCCAGGTTAACAAGTGTCTCAGCGCCCGTCTTGCATGTCTTGTACCTGCGAACAACTCCGTGTTCGTATGTGAATCCTGGCACTTGGCCAACTACTAGAAAATGAACAAGTTGTGAAAGCCCCTTTAAAAGTGTCCGCCTCTCCTTTCCAAGTCGAAAGTGTCCCCTCGTTGTTTCGTCCGGAGGCGCCCCTTTGATGAAAGGCCTGCCAGTCGCACACACTCGACTCCTTCGGTCTGTAGATTATCACAGACCACGGCCGACAAAGATTGTTTGAAGCCCGCATATGGCCACTCGTTTTGTCCGAAACCAATTCGTCTCGACAACCGTCCCCTGGCCTTGTGCCGTCCCATTGACCACAACGCCCAAGTCCCGCCCGCCCATTGTTGGTCACGATGAAGGAAAAGAATGTTTGTTCCATAACGTATCCAACTAAGCTCCCATGCCCTGATTCGAGGTACTGAACAGCGCGCGTACCTGTCTTGCTACAATTCACTGCCAGTCGCCAAATGTAATAAAATATCCAGCGAGTTCCGCATGTCAACGTCATCAGTCCAGCACACAACTTTCCCCAATCGCATCTACCTCTCCATCAGAAATCTATACGTGTCTGCCTTCACCGAGTCCCGACCGCCGCTCGCTAATCGCCGGCATGTGCGTCGTCAACTACCGGAAGCTGGTCTGTCCCAGCTGCCTCACGCAGTTCTCGCAGGCCAGGTATTTCACCGTGTACAATGGATTCCCTCATGGCAGGCCATGCTCCGGGATGGATATTTACTACGACCAAACGCGCAGAGCCGAGTGCGGATGCTGCAACCCGACGGATCCCGTCTACTGGGAGGCTGTAAGTACTCTGGTATCTGGACGGTTCAATGACATTCTTCGCTTACATTGTACAGGGCTGGGTGCATGAGGGCATGACCTTCCCGCTGCTCCACGTTCACCGATATTTTGTGCCTTGGTCCGTCATGTCTACCTTCTAGCACCAAGTTCCGGCCCGCAGCTACGGTAGTCGCGCTGAAGCACAGACTGGTGGGATGATATCTCTCCGGGGGAAAACTGCAAACCAAGACGGCTGGTTAGCGAAGTGGTGCAGAGATATACATCAAGGTGTGGCGGAAAGACCAAGCAAGTCAATGGCTGGGCCACAACTTACTGGATGAGGACTGCAAATTATGACCATGTATTGTGTATATATATGCATATATTGGAGCGGGAGGGGGTGATCCCACATGGCTACGAAGCAGCCGATAAAAATACAGCTGTTGAGAAGAGCACGCCATGGTATCAATATTTCGTCGTGGAGAATCTCGTCTCCTTTGCAAGGGTAAAATTGACGACTCTGTGCGGAGCCGTAAATAAATGCACCAGAGTGACCCAAATTGCCAACCAGAAGTCTCCTATTTCAATACCACACTGCCAACTCAATTTACCTGTCCATGGCATCAACTTTACCACTCCTTCCACCTACGCGTTCTTCTCGGCCGGAACCTCAACGGGAACCTGATGCGCGCTCGTATAGTACGCAGGCTGCTGCATCTGTCTTGAATCAAGCTCACCTGGCTTCGCAACCTGCTGCGGCGATGCCAGCTCGTGAGGATGCCACATGGCAGCTGGGGCTGGATCCGATTGCGCATATTGCCACGCAGGATTCTCTTGCTGCTGAGGGGGATGCTGGTAGTAAATGGGCGGAGTAGGGGGCGCTTGGCCATGCGAGTGCACGGCTTGTTGAGGATAGCCTCCTTGGTGGCCCTGCGTCGAGTGTTGAACGGTGCTCCAGAGACCATCCTGCCTGCGCTTGCCAATGACGAGGAGCAGCACCAAGATGATGAAACAAACCCAGTATTCAAAGACGACATCGACAGCATTCCAAGCGTATGGGATTTGCTCGTCGGGAAGAATCCACTTTCCGAGGAGCACAATGCCGACTACACAGCGCAAGGCGTCGAGGATGGTAGAAACAAAGTAAAGGACAGCAGACTAGAGGCGTTAGAAAGTTTCTCGTCAACGAACCACGGTTGCCTCCCGCCAACGTACCTTTTTCCCCGGCAGCCCAGCATATTGGCCAAGCACAAGTCCAGCGTAAACAACCTGGACAATCGAAACCGCAAAATTAACCACGTCAATCGCAGCCTCCAACGACCTGCACTTGTCCCATGCGTCTACCACAGCATTGTAACTCCTCGTTGGCTCCGACTGGTAATAGTGAACGAGGGCGGCAAGCGGCAGAGCAAAGTACGCCACGGAAAGGGCGAGAATCAACACTGCGCTGCCAAAGGCGGCGATGCGCACGACGCTTCGAAAAGGAGGCGGCTTCTTGATTTGTGCGTAGCGGAAGCCATTACCCAACTCGGCAAATACAATTACAAACAAGGCGTCGACGAGGCGTCGGAAGAAGACGGCCATCAGGCTGGTGTACTCGTAGGTCTCGTCGAGACTGTTGATGGCAGATGCAGTGTGGGATACTTCATCAAAGGAGCCGTTGTCGTACTGCCACGACATTAGAATGACGCCGGCAATATCGAAGGCGATGTTGAGCATCAAGGCTCTGAGGAGCGTCAGCCGCGAGTGAATTCGCCTCGGGTCGGGGTAACGGAAGAGGAGACCTACGACACAAAAACGGATGACAAGCGTGCAGCCAGCTAAACGCCACTCGGGACGGGTCTCGTCGCCTTCGAGCAAGGCCCAATGCCAGGAACCACACGACAATGGCTGGGATGACAACAAACCCCATGAGACCGGCGTGGACAATTAGCCATATCTGCCCCGTTTGTGCCATTGCGATCCTCGCCCGACCCCTTAGACTACAATGACACGGCGGCACACCGTATTGCTGGGACACTGAATTGACGTTATGAGGCGATGAGAATGAGGCAAAATTGACAGAGTGGTGATGATGCAAGGGGTAGGAGCCGGAGTCTCGTGGGTGTCAAATCAGGGGGCCGGCCAGGAATTGCCAATCTACCGCAGACCTGGTACATGGGCAACTAGCCCTCGAGACATGAGACTTGTCTATGAGGCCTCCACAGGGCTGAAAATGGGCTGAAGGCCGTTCAAATTTGGTGTTTCGTGAATACGAGCCAAACCGGATACATGTCGACTACGGATCCGTACATCAATTACATCTGTTTTGCGTGCCAGGAGTTGAGGACTTTAAATGAAAATATTGTACCTGTCGGTATTAGCTCATGTCAACATGCGAGATTCTTGCCTCTTATTTTGGCGCTGTTCTCCTGCATTTTATCTACAGGGGTTTGCCCACCAACTCACCATTCATGACTACAGTTGGTGTTACACAACAGCAACAACAACAACAACAACACGGGTCGAGTAAGATGGGCCATCTGAGCTCATGCGCTGCTTGGAGCACCGTCCTTTTTCACTCCAACAACCACCAAATTGCGCGGGCTAATTCCATAATCAAACACCGTCTCAACCCACGCGTCGCCAACTTCGGCTTGTTCCTTCAAAAACATCCACCTATCTACCACAATCATTGACTCCACGACCATAGCACTGAATGCCATCAGACTCCAAGTCACACACAGCTCCTTTTTTCTCGGCAGGTACTCGGCTTCGTACTTGTCAATCTCCTCGTCCGTAATGTCGGCCATCTTGTCATTCATCACGTCTGCGTACTGCCTATACTCGGTGCTCGTTGTCAACTTCTCGATTGTTCCCCGAACGTAGGCTCGTAGCGAAGAATAGCAGTTCTTTCGTAGACCTCCGACAGTAATAGGTTGTGTGCTGACGTCAAACGGGCCCGGCTTTCTGGTTGCTTGTCCGTCTGTATTTTCTGGAACATGATGTATTTGCTTGACGACACCTCTGTCCAAAAAGATCTTTTGGAGAACTGCTCGGAAGAAATGTCGCGAGAAAAAGGCCTCACTATCCACGCTGTCCCAGTTCTTGGGCGCTTGGCAAGCCATCATTCTAGCAGTGACATTGAGTCGGACCCCGTCGTCGTCGTAGGTACAGAATTTTTTGGACATGGGGAAGCCCTGGGGATCGAATCTGGAGGATTCTCTGCCGACGCGGCCGTTGAGTGCTTGCAGGGTTGGACGCAGATAGGCGTGCTTGTATGTTGGTGGGCCGAGTTTTTCCGTCATGAGATTGTAGCAGCATCCTACAATGGCGATGGCGCGAATGTCTGGGTTGAGGATGAGTGAGCGAATGGCGTAGTGAGAGAGGTTGCCACAGGAATGTATGGAGATGGCCATTAGCTTGAGCTTTTCTTTGGCGAGGGAGGTACTGTCAATCTTGGCAATAACTTCAGACAAGTCGCCGCTGTCCAGACGTCCAGAAACGTATTGTACATGACCCTTGCCGTGTTCCACTGTACACTCAGACTTTAATTGCTCCCGGGGTCGGAAGTCAAACGCTTCTGTGCCGGCAACTTGTCTGAATACGTCTGGATTCTCATGGGGATGTGGCCCACCCGCTTCGAGAATCTTGTTCCACAGCTTCTTATTCCTCATGACCTTTTCTTTGGTTGCCAGGCCAGAAGTGATGTCTAGGCCTCTTGCCGCGGTCACGTTGTTCTCACGGCCTTCTACCGCAACGACTCGTCGATTGTAAGGTTCGCTTGCCAGTGCGCGGCCAAGATAGTTCTGGCCACTACCAAAGTCTACAAAGTGGCTGATTTGGTTCGCCTCCGAGGTAGCAATATTCTGCGATAGGCGATGCACATAGTCGGCAAAGTTCTTGACCTCGTGTATCTTTTTAGGTTTCATGCCTACTTTGACTGTCTGCGGTAGGACGGGCAAATCGTGTGATGGGGGAGTAAAGTCTCTTGCCAGTGATAGATGCCTGATTGATTTGATGTACTGAAACAAGCTGTCCGGCATTTCGGGCAGACCATCCAACTGGAGGTTGTCGAGATCATCTCTCAAGAAGATATCGAGGAGGCGCATGATATCGCATTGTAAGAGAAAATGATGCCATTCCTTGGGTAGGACGGTGTGAAAGAGGCCTGGCGATGAGGTGAAGAAGTCGAGGATGTGAGTGCCGCCGCAAAGGATTTGGAAAAGGTCAGTGGTGTTGACAAAGTGGAGGAGATGAGAGACGTAGTCGTCAGCTGAGGCATAATTGCCATTGTAGGGGAGGGGTCTGGGCACCATTGCGGTGGAACCCCGAGTTGTAGAATGAGAATTGAGTATTGTCAACAAGATATCATGATGGTTCGTGAGTAGAGTCGAGGGTTCGTGGGGATATTGATGATCCTGGGGTTTAAAGGGTAGGCGGTAACTGTGCCGATGCAACGCCGGCACAATATTCGATCGACTGCGACAGTGCTGAGATATTCAAGCAGGCGAAGTGATGCGTAATGACATCTAGTAGCTATATACGCCTGGCACGCAGGGCTCCCCTTGGTGTAGAGTGAATAATTTTCATGCCACTCCTGCCTCTGCTTCAAAAGCCAACACTGAGATGCCCCACCGTCGTCATTCTTGGCTGCCATCTGGGCCTGGAGTTTTGATGGCGGTCAATGTGGGGCGTCGCCAATTGACCCCTGCATGTTCCGCATGTACAGAAGTTTGACTCTGACGTTGCCTGAAATGCTGAGCCTCGAGTTGTGCTTGTCAGCCAGAGCAGAGCTGCACCTGTGTCGTGCAACCTCAGCTCTCCCGTACGTCACCGAGTCGCGACATAATCAAGTATTCTCATCTGCGGTCAGCAATAATAGCTTTGCAATAGCTATCAAAGCATTGCTTACTAAGAAGCATAACTTAGCTGCCGCGATTTTGTTGCCTAGACAGAACATCGCGAGCCTCTCCCTAAGTTGAGTCCCTTCGTTCCGCCGCTGAACCGACATGATAGCCTCAGCAACGATATAGCAATCTCATATATTCCGACACATCCACTGCAATGCTTCGACCCTCTTCATAGCATCACCATGGAGGATCCCTGGAGTTCCCCCTGGGCCACGGATACTCCGGCGCCTCCAACAATCGACCTGCCTTCCGAGCCTCAACAAGCGCATTATGGCAATTCACCCCGCAAGTCGTCCCGATCGCCCTCGCCATGGGGCCGAAGTATAGATATCGGTGTTGAGGACTGGGGAGGGTGGAATGAGCCAACAGGCGGCAAAGCCAGCCCAGGTTGGGGGAGCAGTCCGAATTTAAGGCCATTAGGGAGCGGTACCGGCGTAATGCTAGATCCATGGGCGCTGGCGGTGACCGAGGATAAGGAAGGGGGGAAGGGATCTGACTCCGCCATTGGTTTGGGAGACGATGGGCGGGCTGATGGACACGATAACTTGACAAGGCACATTGAGGAAAATGGCGTCTGGGAGAAGGAGCATATCGAGTCGAATCAGGAAGATGCTGCGGTGCCGAGTCATTCTGTATACATGGAACATACGAGGTCGCTTGGCGAAAGGCAGGCATCCAAGGTGCAAGAGTTGAAGGAAATGTACGATGTCATGGCAAAGACATCGGGTGTGGAGGCGACAAGGACAGAAACGGTGACAACAAAAGATAGACAGGTCACTGAGGCCAAATTTCCGGACCATGTGGATGAGCAGTTAATCCCGGATGCTCCAACACCTCCTGCGACAACATCTACCCGTCCGATGGACGACGACGACATGGCCCCAGTAGCGAACAAGTGCGAAGCCGTGCTTGCTAGAGTTGCTAATCTGAATCCGAAGACCGAGCAGTCTAATTCTGAATTGCAGATTGCGTCTGAACTTGGCGATAGCAGGGTACCAAGCGAAGTGGTTCTTGTCCCAGAGCAAGATGCAAAGCCGGACCGAGTGACACAACATCACGGCTCAACCCGCCCAACCGACGAAGCAACTGAAAATAAAACCTTGTCACATAGTCCAAAGACATTAATACCGTACCTTATCGACTTTTCTAATCTCAATATTCTATTTCCCGACACGCAAGCGGTTACCACCATCCCCGAAGAACTTCCCGAGTCCATCATGAGAGAGTCATTCGCCTCTATATCACAGCGGAAAGCCTGGTATCGCATATCCCGGTTCGGCTCTATACGGAAACACAACGGCGGCGACGACGACAACTACGTCAGAGTGGCGTGGAAGAATTCAACCATTCGCAACGACACATTGACCACTGTCCGCCGATGGATGGAAGAGGACAGCATCGGGGGAAGAGTGGTTTTAGGACGAAGGTTGGGCCACGGAGGGGGCAGCATGTTCAATTGGGATTCCGAAGCACCACCCGTCGAGATTGGTGAGTTGTTGGCCAGGAAAAAGCAGAAGCCAAAAGGACATGCTCGACAATTTTCAGCTACCTTAGCGGGGACTGTCACGTCGCCGACAATTGCATCGTTTGGATGGAGCAGCAGTGTGCCATCGTCGCCCGCAACAGAGAGGATTTCTTCCGACTGGCATGCGAAGACGTCTCGACTGTCTGAGATGACAGAGAGGGACGAGGCGGAGGAGAAGCGAGTATCAGCTGACATGCCCGGAGCTCACCAAAGTGCGAAACCATCAACAGCCCAGGTACCGTCTGTCTTGGCACCAACCCCTGTATCGCAGGACGAAGATGACGAGTGGGGGGATATGGTGTCTTCTCCAACTTTGGAATCTACTGCTGCGTTTGATACAGCCTCTCATATCGAGGCGGCATCCCCCCCGACCCCGAAACGCGGCGCGGACGCGTCCATTTTGAAAGCGAGTGAACCGGTGCATGCTTCAAATGCCCTGACAGAGGAACTAGACCCCTGGGGAGGCTTGGAGTTTGTTGGCGGCACTTCGACATGGCAAACTTTACAGCCCATGTCATTGACACAAGAAGACACTGCAGCGTTATTAACTGCACCCGAAAACGCCTCTATGCCAGCCCACCTTGGACAACCTAGAGAACATGAATCCATTCGCACATCATGGCAGTTTTCAAGTTGCTCATCTTCAAGACCAACGAGCATTGAATTTGCGCCTTTGAGCTCCCAAGACGACGAGGCAGTGACCACGATTCTGGCTGGACTGCCAGACTTGTCATATATGATGAGATAACAGGACCCAAGAGGAGGAAGTATATATGCAGCTGCATTGTACATGAGGTAGATGAATTAATGAATGACCGAATTGATGCTAATTCAACTACAACATTTTGTATAGTACTAGTGTATCATAAAATATATCTTTTCCTAGCGGTCGGTACTCGACCTGGTAATGACATCGTTCCAGCTGGAGTGACTGCCCGTTTTGGCTTGGAAACGCTGCCTTGGCTCTTTGAATGAGAACAGAATTTGATGGAATGGAAGTCCAACTTTGCTTCCTCTCATTTGACGGTGGACTGGCATCAAGTAACCGCCCGCCGAATTTGTCCTGCGGCAGGATATATGGGATTGCAGGTTCAACAAATTGCCGTCAATTCCGCTTCCTGGGCTGGGCAGAAACGATGCGGGAGTGTATGCTCATGTTCCCATGGCAAACTCCATTTTTATTCTTACCGTCCATCAAAGTCACGCAAGCAACGGCGGTGGGAAAGTGTCCCAGAAACCGCTCAAATGGCCCGACTGGCAACGTACGTGGAAACTTGGGTTCATGTTTGCTGGTGACAGAGCACCTCTGCTCAGGCCGACAAGTTGACACCCCGACTACGGAAAGAATAGCGCACAGCCCTCTAAAAACAGGTATTAGACAAGTGTCACGCGGTGAAATACTAAAAATGGACGTATTTATGTGTGTTTCCCGCCTGCATCTTGAGCGGTACCAAGCCTTATAGCCATGGCGGAACTGAGGAGGACCATGTCCCGATCAATTCAAACTACACCATCAGTTGATCACACTGTAAAGAATGAAATACTGCAACCGGATAGAGAATGTTTGCCTCCAAGCAAATATTTTGAGCTCGGATCTCTCTGGCTAACATGATGGAGCCTACGAATGTAAGGGCATTGCCACGCCACGGTCCTCAATTCGGCTCTTTGTCTGACCTGTCTTACGGATTCTAGTAGGGCCAGTGATTTCAAATAATGGATGCCATATTCGGTATTTCGATTCCAATATTATTTTGCTGGCTCCTGCGCTGTCGTACATCTATAAAAGCAAGAGACTCGCAAGACTGCTCCGACCCATCAAGCCGATGCATCCATACCATTTATCCCACCAGAAGACTTGCAATCCTCTAATAAACCAAATATGAAGACGTCACTGATTCAAGCTCTGGAAGCATCTGCTCGCCTTGTCCATGGAGCCGCCACGGGGTCGTTCCAAGATAAACAGCTCTAGCTTCAGGACTTCCTTCCCTTTCAACATAACAGAATGGGCTGGCAGAGAAATGCCCCCGTTATATAATGGAGTAATCGTTTCCGTCTGTGGCACGTACCTGCTGTTAATATTCTTGTGCCACAAAGTAGGACTACTCACAGCCCCAAGGCTCCCAAGACAGCAATCTCCAGAAACGCGGAGAACGCTGGTGTAAGTGTGTCGACGACAATTGCATCAATGGCTTTGCGGCGAACCCTATTGGTTAGAGCTTTTGCATGGCAAGCTGCAATATCGGTCATTGCGGTTGCAGACACAAAAGCACCTATGGCAAGGAATAGGCATTATTGAGATTGGAGGGCGTTTGCTCGGGTCGGTTCTTCATCTGCTGAAAAAACTACCAAATTGGAGGCTTTCCAACTCATAGGGGGGGCTCGGTCATTTTGAGCCTTGGTGAACTGATGAGGCGCTACTATTTTCATCGTACAGGAGTTAGGAATGGTCTCTTGTCAACAGGCTCATTGCGCTCGGCTGCGGGATCCATGCAGATCAACCATCGGTTCTCAAAGTGGCATTCATAGCTTGCTACATATTCTTTCTTTGGAATTAATATGGTAGATAAACAGTTATAATCTACAGCCTCTCGTACTGCGACGACTACATGACTATCATGCAGGATAGCGAGACTTAAACCGTCAGACTTCAGTAATACCCAAGAATATTATGTAACAACTTTGCCGCCAAAAGAGTTTTCCACACATGTAGCTTATAGCAGCAAGTATATCTCGTTCATATCTTGGTTTCTCCCGCACTGACGATGTCAACCGCCATACGGAATCCTCCACTTCACCTTGGCAAATCTACGAAAACGAAAGCTGTCCAGGCCCTGGTTTCAATGGCGCAGCCCGTCGGGTTCCCAGAGACAGAGAACATCCAATCGCGTCCGTACGCCCGCCAAGTCATAAGAACGCTGTACAACAATAAGTTGAACGGTAACTACATTTACACTTGGTGCCCAAAGAGGGCGCCTCAGGTCTCTTCATGTACACAGCCACCTTACAAGCCGAAGAAAGCCAATTCATCGTTGCATTCTGGCACCAGCATTACATTGAGTTTAATGTTTCGTGCTACATGCGCTGTGCTGACACTGCTGATAATGTCAACTTCTTACAGGCTGGCGATTCCGATGCCGGATATAAGTGTCTTGCCTCAGCTGATTGAACGAAAATCATGCGTGATATATCACTTTTCTGGCTTACGGTAGTTGTTCTGGCGTACGATGGATTGAGCAACTGTCATAGGTCGTTATGCACCCTGCAGCACGCTGGCTGACTCGACAATGAGACACAGACAACGAATATGTGGATTGACTCGTGGAGAATCGTTTAACCACATGTACTTTACATTAATCACAACCATTCAGGCTCCATTTGTCTTTTCTGCAACTCGTAGAAGTCAATGTGCATTACAGCATGCGGGTGCCAACTTGCGACTCCAAGACATAGGCCCACCGCCCTTATCAAAGGAGAAATCTTCGCAGTAAGGGTTATGGATTTTTCGGGGAGGTCGACAGTCTTGTAAATAGTTATAAATACCAGCCATGTAGTCGGATGGAGATGAAGCAAACCTTGGGTCGAGGATCTACAAGCATTCCCAGGCACACTTACACGGCAATATCTGCAAGATCATAATTCCTGTATCCAAACATGCATCTTCTAAACCCGTCCAAAGTCATAGACTTATCCCTGCTCACCCTCCTCTCAGCGGCAGTTGTCCTCTCCGCTCCCGCTCCTGTTGGCCCTGCTGCTCCTTGGCCTACAGATGACAAAACCCTTGCGGTAATCGACAAATATTCCCGCTACTCAGTCGCAGCCTACTGCGAGAAACTAAACGGCGACTCTGTCAATAACAAAGTATGCACCAATAAGATCCCGGGGTACTGCGGCGATCTCGCGGATGCCGTCACCGTTCATCAATTCCACGCCACCAACTCCATCTCTGGCAACGTTGCCGTGTCCAACAAGACCCAGTCCATCGTGGTGAGCTTCCGGGGCACTGCGAGTGTTAAAGACATCTTGACAGACCTCAGGGTGAAATTCAAGGACCCGAAGAAGCACCTTGAACGGATGACGGCCGTGTCTCAAGCCATTGGCGCAGTTCCTCCCGCGTATGATTTACCCCAAACTCATCTGCGCTTATTGCTCACCCGACACGGGCTAATGTTGGAGTATCTAGCGCATCCCCGGGTGACACTGACCCGGTCCTTCCTCTCTGCAACAAGTGCCGAGTCCACGCAGGATTTTGGGACGCCTTCCGTGGCGTCAAAGACGTCCTGAACAAGGTCGTCAAGGAACAACGCAAGCAGCATCCCGGCTACCAAGTGGTCATCACGGGGCACTCTCTAGGAGGAGCAGTGGCCTCCATTGCTGCTGGGTATTTCCGCAAGAGCGGCATCCACGTTGACGCATATACTTACGGCTCCCCCCGGATAGGCGACCCGGCCTTTGCAACGTTCACCTCCAGCCAGAAGAACGGCCTCACGACGCGCGTTACCAACGGCCGCGACCCGGTTACCGTGGTCGTCGGCATTGGTTATGGGTACGCGCATACTACGCCCGAGTATTGGTTCCCCAAGAGGGTTGAGCAGCCCAGGAATGTCAAGATTTGCGAGGGCGTGCAAAACGTGAACTGCTCTGGGCAATTCTACATCAACCCCTGGTACGTCGGGGACCATTCCAGTGCCAAGTATTCGAGAGGTTTTGAAGCCTGTCCCGAACAGAAGAAGTTGGAGCCGGAAATGTCGCAAGCTCAGGCTTTTACCGAGGCAGATGTTGAGGAGTGGAAAAAGTTGGGATTCGTGGACGACGTGGATCAAATCAAGGCAGCTCAGCTGTAGAAGCCTACCAGTGTTGGATATTAGGATTGGACATGAGCGACTTGTGCTGTTGGATTACGAGTTTACCTTTAGTTTAGCGACTGTAGGTCAGTTTTCAAACAAGACTCACAGTATCTTCTATTTGTTACACGAGCTGGTTAAACAGCATTAGCGTCCCATTCGCATCAAATATACTCAGCCTTGGTCACATCTTTTTGCTGTTTTGGATAGTGGCTGTGAGACTTGTCTCATACCGGCATGTCCAGAAGAAGAGACAGCAACATGCGACAACTTGCATTGTTTTGCGCCCATCCAATGGATCTATCCATGTTGCATTTCTTTGACAGATGGACTGTCCTTCATGAGTCGTGACAGGAGAATCACCGCTCACGCCTCTGACTACCCGCATTGTACGCCTGCTTGGAGTAAAGTGGATCGGGAGAGCTCTTTGTGGAAGAAGAGCCTTTGCTCAAGGACACTGACTGTTTGACTTTTTTCTCCCCTGTTGAGCAAATAGTTGTTGCACTTGTATGCTCGTTTCGCGGTCTAGGACATATGTGGTTCACTGAAGAAACTTGAGGTGTAAGGTTTTCAAGGAGTCGATCGCCCAAACTGAACGGTAGAGATGGTGCTATGAGACACGACTCGAGGGATTGTGCATGAATGCCCAAGTAGAGGCCATGGCTAGACCGGACCGGAGGAAAATAGACAACCACTGAGTCAGCCGAGCGCAGAGATGCCAGACAAGGCTGTGGCGTAGACCCCTGTTTGAGACTAGGAGGAGCAAGGTATTCTGTTCTCCTCGAGACAAGTTTGCTTCCTTTATTTGTCCTACTCGGTTGGAAGACAGGTCCCATGGTGGAATTTTGAGAGTGTCACCGAGATGAAAATCATGTAGAGACAACCATGTCCGTGTCCGTACAGGGATATCCCCAGGTTATTCCCGCAGCACAAGGCATAATGCGGAAAGGACATGCTGTTCCTGTCTTTGAAGAGGTTGTCATTCAGTTACACAGCGTGATAAATCGGAAAATTTTTACTCGCCGACTTCGGCCCATTGCTTATGGTTGTCACAAGTCACCTCGCACCGGCCCTGACTTGCTGATGAATGTGACCGAGTCGAGCTTAGCTATTATGCATCAGAAACTTCATAAGACGACTAAGAAATCGCCAACTAGCACTTACACATATTATCAATTTACATGATTATTCTTGGAGCCCTTGGAATTCCACAAGCAGCTTGGCGACTCCGTCGTGATTCCGGGCCTCAACGTTGTATCTCTTGGCGCTTACAGCCCTCTGTCCCTAGGTTGGGCATCAAAGACATTAACTTGTACTCAACATTGCTACCACGTTGAAAAACGATTGGCTCTAGCTTCTTCATCAGGACCGGAAATGCAGCCGGGCTTGTGTCTGACTGGAAAAGTCATACTTTAGAGGGACCAGATTGCTCTGCTAGCATGGCAGAACGGTAGGTAGACTTATTTTGACTCGGGTTGCTGCTGGTCCGATTGCTGCCATTTGGGTCTTCATTGAGCTGCGAAACACAACCATTAGTCACTCTTCTGCCAAGATGGATGGATTGAAAAATGGTTTTGCTTATGTCTACCTGCTTTCGCATCCCCCAAATCACTTCATATTGTGAGCACAACACCACCGAAACATGAGCAGCTTTTTCAGCATTTCGACATCAGTCACATCACCACGTATCCACCAATTTCTGCGCCAATGGCAAATGCGTTCTCTCATAATTCCTCAAAATTTCCGCCAAAGTCGCAGCTATAGGCCTCGTGTGACGCATCTTCAGCTAACCCCAGCCGAGCGAATCATGTAGTTCTGTTCCTCATGGATCAAGGTCGTGTAGCTGATTCAAGACAAGCTTCCCAAACGTTTTTGCTCCTCAGAGATGCCATCGTAGTCGAACCCACATACATTCTGCTCGTAAACATGGAGCTTGTTGAATGCTCTGTAGCTGTCGCGCATCATCTTCTTGTAACGCCACTGATACAGCATGTATGTTGTCTTCCATGATTCTTTTGCATAGCTGCAGTTGGCCTTCGCTGCTCAATCATAGATTTGAAAACCATCCCCATTGACACCTAATATCAGCACATTTATACAACAGGAGTATTCCTAAGCATTGGAGAGCTTTCCTGCCACGCCAGGCAGAGTTTTCCTGTACGCCCACGCTGCAAATTGAACGCTAGGCTTGTCTATCACCCGCGTCACAAAATCTGCCGTACATAGGGTTAAAGGCAGTAGAATGGCTTGTGACAAGAGAAACGCAACCTCAAGCCCAAAAGGCCCTATCTGCGGCAACTCAAACTTATCCACCCATTGCGGGATGTGTTCCTTCTGGCTCTGGCCTTTAAAGCCGACGGCCGTGTATAGACGATCCCCTATGATCCATAGCACTGGCCCATGGACTAAATATAGCGCATAGGACACGCGTCCTAGGTACTGACTGGTATGGGTTTCGAAAAAGTGTTTAAGCCAGCCAATATTCGAAACTGAAGTGATGAGTAAAACCGCGGCCCAAAACAGATAAAACCACTTGTAATCGAAGACAGCCTGCGGCTTGAGATAGGAGAGGATATGCCAGCCGCGGGTATGGGCAAGCTGATCCAAGTCGTAGTTCGCGCTTGGGACGCCCCCTAGGTAGATTCCCACTGCTAGGAAATGATAGCAGATAATTTTCTTATAGGGAGTCAATCGAGTAAGCAGAGATGGAAGGTTGTCCTTGTCTACTTCTGCGAGCAGATCCAAGTGACTTAGCAGCATGCCGGCAACGAACATTGCGCAATACCACCCATCAGCAATGTACATAAAGTAGCCAATGAGGGAAATCTGGCACCAGAGGCGGGCATTGAGAGAGCATCGTGACATGGCCAAAAGGGAGGTAAAGACAACCATAGATCCCTTGAATTCAACTGGGATGGACCAGAGATGAACGTTGTAGGATAGCCACGGCACACCACCGTCCTTGAAGGGGAAGCTGAAATTTTTAAGCTCGCAGTAAAAGAACCACATCTCGTGCAGCCAGTTATCATGGGGCTCTGCCCCGTCCACCCAGAGGCCAAAGAAATGCAAGGAAGTTGCATACATAAAGGTGGTGGCTGCGACAGGGAGGAATAGACGCAGCCAGCGCCTGAATATTGCCGACCCAAGATGCTCGGCCAGGCCAAAAGTATCATTCTTTTCAATAAGGCGTAACGGCTTTATAGAGAGAACGTACCCAGACAACACGAAAAATATAGACACGGCCAAGTGCCCTCCAGAAAAGAAGAGCCGGACGCCTGGCAGAGCGGCAAAGTAGTACTGGTGATGATATCCAAAGCCATTCTCGAATATCTCGATCTCTTCCCTGTGAGCCCATAGTACGTGGTGATGCCAGTACACCATGAGAGCTGCGAAGCCTCGCAAGCCGTCGAGATGGGCGGTTTTGTGCTGGCTCTTGGGCCAATGCCTTGTCCTCGACCAAGCACACAGCCATGACTTGACGTTTGAAAGCCCCGGGCTGTTGGGCAGGTTTCTCAGGGTGTTGGCCGGCTTCCAGGACGGTTGCCGACCAGACAACTCGTCGGCTTTGGCTTCAAGGTCGACGTTGAGCATGGCCTGCTCCATTGAGTCGCCGTCGAAGACACGAGGTGAAATTTGCGCCGAAATTTTCTGCGGCGCAACATGGCAGGTAGCAGAATTCTGTACGAAGGATTAACTAGTAATGCAGAAGTAGAAATGATTTCTCCACAGCTGCTCTCGCTCCGAACCGACATGGACCGATTCACATGTTGTTGTTGTCGTGGCAGTCGCCATCTGCACCTGTAAACGGCCGCGGTCTGGGTCCCCATCAGCCACTGTCAGCTCCTGCCAGCCATGGCGCCCGTTCCAGTGCAGATCAATTGATCGCAGACGCCCATTGGCGGCCCTTGGGGCAATTCTACAACCCCTAGTCATGTCATCTCCTTGTTCCCCATATCCCCCGCCCCATCACTACCCACCCCACAGGATGGAGCCTCCCCAGACAGGGCTCGAGATCGCACAAGATTAATGGCAGAATCAGTCAGCCATAATCGAAGAAGAAATCATCATCCTGTGCTGCCAATCTCACGCCACTCGTTCACACTGGCGGGGAGCTCAACTATCACGTGAAATGCTAGGCGGTGCTGATCTCGGGCTGACCATCTACAATCTCTCCAGAGACATACTCAGCTGAGATCATCGCCATGTCTGACTGACGGAACCTTCCGACTCAACATATTCACTCTTCTAAAAGAAAAAAAAAAAAAAAGGACTGGAACGACTGGAGCACGACCGAGTCGGCCGCAAGATATGCCGATGATACTCACGCGACCTCCTCGACCGAGAATTGCGGCAGCTGTTGCATGTTGTCTTCTCTTCGTTACATATCTCGTCTATTCGAATGCATCAATATACACATCCTTGACTGGCAGCGGGCACGCGTTGATGGCTACAGATGATCCCGGTTTAGCCTTCCCTCTTGACCCAGTTCCCCGTCGCGACTTTACAACTCTGGCCAAATATCCGGCGCATAATATCAATCAATCTTCGAAATTCGCCTTCGCAACATTGTATTGCAGTCGCGACCCCGATACCCGCGGTCCATACTTTGAATCTACACAATCTATCATCTGGCGACTCCTATGGTCCGATTATCGCTCAAAGTACCCTATTATTATCTTTGTCTGCCCATTCATTCCGAAGAAAAATCGGGATATTTTTCGAGGACAAGGCGCCATAGTAAAGGAAATTGAGCTACTGGACAATATTATTCCCGATGAAAAGATCGCAACAAAGCGATGGATCGATGTGCTATCCAAGCTTAATCTATGGAAGGAAATTAAATGGAACCGACTTGTGTTCCTTGACTCGGATGCCTTTCCTGTCAGGAATATCGACGATATTTTTGACCTGGTTCCGGAGCAGCAGTGTAAGAAAGAGGCGCTGCTTCCAGAAGATAAGGCCGTTATAGACAAGGGCGGGGACGACATGTGCAACTATGTTTACGCGGGTGTGCCGCAATTTACCATTGACAATATCAATGCCGGCATGTTTATCTTAAAACCGAATCTTGATATGCATGCCAAGCTTATCAGGGCAGCTAGACGCACCGAGGACTATGACGTACGCTACATGGAGCAAGGGGTTCTGAGTTCCAAGAATGCGTTTGCGGCTGATGGTCCTTTTCCGGTAGATCGCCTGTCACCCATCTGGAACACGGTCCCGGAATATTATAAGGAACACCTCGCCAAAGGTGCAGATTCGACTGAGCCGCCGCCCATAAGGATTCTTCACGCCAAGATGTGGAACCGATTCTGGGGCTCTTGGAATAATTTAACGCATCTGAACGACATGTGGGATCTGGACTGGATGAACATGTGCAGATTCTTCGACTCTGACGAATTTGTCAAAGCAAGGACTACCGGCGTGTATGTGACACCGTGGGAGAGATACCTCAAGGCCCAGGAGACGGCGTTATCATAGCTTTTAATGATGCGCTTAAGCTCTGCAGCATATCTGACCCGAAGAGCTATTCGCTCGCCGATCCCGTCGTACAGCATCCAGGGACGGCGCGCCAAGATGACAAAAAGCTCACAAATGAGCCCATCCCACAACAGGCGTTGGAGACGCCCACGAGGGCAAAGCACCTGAAAATTGTATGACAACAAGGATCGTCGGAGGACATTCATATGCACGAATTCTCTTTTTGGCGCTTGATAAAACGACTCGGGATGACGGCTTGATCCCAGATAGGTGTTATGTATTCGCACATTCCGTGTAATCTTACTACTTGTTCATGTCGTCGTGGTCTATGGTTAGCGATTGAAACGGCGCGTAGGTTTGGTCCTTACTTTATCCGCCACGTCATCGGCACACCTCCGTGGTCAATTCAATAATTGCCTCGATGGGCAGGATGCAATGTACAGAATATACAGTCGGTATACAGCTAGCAAACACGAGCAGTGACCAGTGACAAGAACCAGCGTTATTATAGTTCATGCATTTTCAATCACTGTCATTGTAGTCTTTATAAAATTCTACCATGGATACATTGGCCGCTCAACTATTGGATTCGTGGCCATGTCAATGTCCTGATGTTTCACCGTGCATAGCCCAGGGAATCACAACCAAGTTGTCCCATTTCCCCTTCCACCTGCTCACCTTCTTCTCATAGGCCTCTTTGGTGCCCAGCTCCTGATGCGGTCTGACAACCAAATTGAAAAAGTCTGAGAACCCCCTCGGCGCATAGACATCCCATTTCCCGCCCTCGCCCACGTGAATTCCCACCATTGCACTCGTCGTCAGCCACTGCTCTATTGCCGACTCGGTACACTTGTGTTCTGGACAGGGAATTCCATACTTGGGGCCATACCACAGATGAACGCGTGCTTGGTTGCGGATCTCAACTTCGACTGGCATATCTGCGAAGAGAGTCTTGCCCCTTTGAATCACAGCGTCTTCTGCCTCGTACGACAAATCAGAGGGATCGTGGTAGACGAGGTCGTAGTCCTGGATGCCGTGTTCGGCAGGGAGGCCAGACATGTAGTTCCATATTGTTTGGGATATAGCACCGCCCGCGAGATACCAGTTGGGCAGATTTAGGGATGGCGCACGTGAGAGGACCGTGAGCAGCGTCTTGTTGGTCGAGACGGCGGCTTTGAAGTGGTCCAGTTGGTCGTGAATCGGGAGATGGGCGGGGTTCATTGCAGCAATGATTGTGCAGAAAATCGGCTTTGATGAGATGGTAATCAGCCAGCTGCGTGGGCGGCTGGAATACCTGAAAGAATGCCCTTTTTTTTGTAGACGAGTCACTAAGAGGTTGTGAATTGGGAAAAACGCCAACTCTGCATGGCACGGATGTTGGACGCCGGGGTCTGAATGGTTCTTGATAGCTCTTGATAGCTGTGGGATTATTGATCGGAAAAGGTGCGAAGGACGTCGTTTTAAACACGGGAGGTTAATCCCACAACCGTTTTTCATCCATCAAGACCGTCAACTTGATGCCAATATGCATGAACTAACCTGTATGCGCAAGGTGCATGACCAACACTCGGTCCATTCCGTCTCGTTGGCCACGGAAAGCGCCCCTGCCCCGCCGATTGCAACACCGCGTCTGCTAGCCAAGATGACACGAGGTTCCTCGAATCTTCTCATCGAATACGCCATGAGGCCATCTCGTACAATCTTGCTCCATTGTGTTATCGGGACTACACGGTGACTCACCCCTTCAGCCCTCTCGTCAAAACACCAACATGGCTTCCATGCCCGTCATCCTCCCTGCCGCCACAAAACACACCCACACAGTCGTCTTCCTCCACGGCCGAGGGGATGTAGCCGAAAACTTTGTCGCCTCCTTGAGATACTCCAAGAACTCCCAGGGCCAGACGCTCCAAGAAATATTCCCCTCCTTCAGATGGGTCTTTCCCAAGGCCGGCGTCAGCGCTTCCTTCTCCTTGGGCGGGAACAAGGTCTCACAGTGGTTCGACATTTGGAACGTCGGCGACTTCTCGGAGCGGGAGGAGGTGCAAATACTGGGACTGAAGGAGAGCATAGCCATGATTCGAAAGGTGCTCAATATCGAGGCGGGCATCCTGGGCGGGCACTGGGACAAGATCATCTTGGCCGGCATCAGCCAGGGTGCGGCGACGGCGACTCACGCTCTCCTCAACTTGAAGCTGCCGGCGGCAGCGGATGACGGCACCAAGTTATCAGGCGGCTTGGCGGCGTTTGTTGGGTTTTCGTGCAGGATGCCGTTCCCCGGACGGACGTTGAGGGAAACGAGGGCGGTGCTGAGCTTGGAGGATGTTCCAGAGGACGATGAGGTGATACGGAAGACGCCCGTGTTGCTGGAACACTGCGTAGATGACCCCTTGGTGTTGGTTGAGAATGGGCGAGTCCTGAGAGACACGCTGCGTGGGTTTGGAGCCGGGGTCCATTCGAAAGAGTATCCGGATGGAGGACACTGGTTCAATTCACCGGCGGGCATGGACGACGTTGCCGAGTACCTGACGCATATTCTTGGGTTGAAGCCTCCGCTGCCAGCAGGTGCTGCAACAAACGGGACTGAGATGGACTTGTCTTGAGGGAGGCGAGAGGTAGTCTGTCATATTGCTGCAGCGTTGGTTCCTTTCACGCATAGCCTAGCACATCAATCATAGCGGGCTTCGTTTATCCTGGTCCTTTGTCTCCTTTCATCTTGCCCCCGTTGTCGACGTCGTCAACGACCATCACTTGCCTCATTACTGCCCCTACTCTGATTTTGAGGTTTGGGCTTGCGTAAGTTGCATCCCGTAGCCTGTCCTTGAAACGTTCACAACGAATGGTTTGACCTTCCACCCACATCTTTGGTGTTTCAAAGCCCGCTTAGCATTGGCCTATCCCCCTGTCATTCTTGAGCTTTATCGTACAGTCTCCTTATGACCAGGGCAAGCCGGATAGGCTCTTATATCATATAGTGATCACACATTATGGTTCCTGACCAGTGCCTGGGTAGCGGTTTTGTAGATGGACCTTGGCCTAAATTACCTTTGGGAGGAGTTACAGTCTGTAAGATCGCTCGTAGTTTTGAGAACAAATCGCACCGTGCAGAGTGTTTGCTTCACGTTTGGGTGAACCGGTCGGTGTTATACTCGAGTAGTCAGACTTGAGCATTCTGCCAGGACCAAACACGAAGGAACTTGTTCACGTATCCAGAGAAAACTTGTCTTGCTTGTGGCCTGAACAGGCGACAAAGTAGTTTAGCTGTGATACAAAGATCCAAGCTGCAGTTTCACAATTATCAGCCAGCCTCGGAAATTCATAGCGTACCATAAATCCCCTCGAACACTTCGGAATAAACGTCCTTCAGTGTTTAACGTCTCTCTGCCTTGTGATCTGCAATGGAAATTACCAGCATCGAAACCTGCTCTTGTGACCACGTTCGTCCTCCTCGATGCACTGCTGACACTTCACTGTGAAGCAGCAGTCCTCGTTGAAGACGACCTCGTACTGGCCGCACTTTTGTCCCCCGTCGGACAGTTTTTTGCATGTGGGGAAGTCGACGCGACGGTTTTCGACCTTGCGATGGCATACGGGGCAAGTGACGTGGTAGACGGAGATATAACACATGGCGTTGCGGGCGAAATAAGGTGAGGAGGGCGGTTGGGTATAAGTGATCTTGCAACGACCAGTGGGGGGATTGTAATATTTGACTGATGAGGCTAACACGACTTTACAAGGTCACGTTGGAAAACACATTTATATGCCAACTGAAAGTTGATGATTCATCCTCCTAGTGTTGTACAATCTGAAGTGTAGCTGTAAACAATAGCGTGAATGCAGACACTGATTCACGTGTACTCAAAGTGGTGAACATTGGTTGGGTTGTTCCTTTTGCTTTCCCCCAACCGTTTACATCTCTCACACAAGGCTTGTTCATCGAGAGCCTTCTGGCGCCTGTATTTATACCCTCCTCGGCATACACGGCCTGTGCGCTGGTACTCACGGCACTCAGGCATGTTCCGGTAATGCTTTTCGCGAGTCGCCCCGCATGGACAGGTGACAATCCCAACCGAGCTGTAGCACATTGTGGAAAGAGTCTCGAACGGGTGATGAAGAAATAACCGTAGCGAATGTCGAGAGTGTATCTGTTTGAGTGTCGAGAATGCCAAAGTTGGAGGATTTTGAATTGGCGAGGCAGGGGGGAGGGGGAGCACGCGAGCTTTATACTTTTACCAGAGAGTATTTCACTGATGAAGAATCGGACAACTGATGGCTTATTATGAATATCTCGGCCCAACCGGTAGGGGGGAGAGATTCATCAACGGCAAATGTGACTTTGGTCAGCGTCGACTTGCCATCTCGCGCATACTCAGCTATATCTGGCTCCCCGATTCGTCGTAGACCTAGCAGTGCATGGAGGACACTTGACTTTCCAATCTTTAATCAGCACCTCGACAAAGCCTCCTGGACAGACCTTGCCCGTCTTGCAAAACTCCTCACATGGTGGACTGTGTTTCACAGGGGTAGTTCTGACCACGGTGGGACAATGAGGGCACGAGTAGGTGAAATAGCCTTGGAAACACATGTTGATGTAAATTCGGCCTTCTCTTGGAGAATGAGTGAGTATCTCTTTACGTCGCTTTTGTTGTCGTTTGATGAATGTTCTTGGGCTGTTGCAACGGGACAAACTTGATGGAGAAGAACAGAGCAATTTATAGTCTTCTTGACGACAAAACATGGTGATGAAGTAATCAGAGTCGTGGACAGGTTCGCTAAGCAAGATTCGAGCCCATTTCGCGAGGCAGGCAGTCGCGCACTCAGCCGGCGTGATTCGACTATCCAGGTGCGTGTCAGCATCAGTGCCCGGTGGCTACAGCTACTAGTGCGGTTATTCTGTACTTCTCAAATTCCCATCACACACACTATATCCCGGTCAAAATATCTTGTTTCTGTAATTCAGCATACATGGTTTCTGTTTCAGCGAGGTCGTCTCGTTTGGATGGAGGATCGCCTCTGATTGGCTGTATTTTGACTACGAGGCAATATACGGTGACATAACTTGCCCAGCACTCTTTTTTGCGGGGTTCAAGTTGACTAGAAGCGTCTTTTGGATTCAAGGACATTGTATAAGACTACGCCTATTCGTTTCCGTTAGTTACCATATACGCAGAGTACGAAAACACAAAAGAACATGGCATTTTGACCAACCCGTGGCGTTCTCACCGTCCAGTTCGTGTTAGCGCAAGATTTCGGCGTCAGAGGACTCGAGCCCAACACTCGACTTTTGACCCTTAGACTCCGTGGCAGAATGTATTTGCAACCATCAAGTATACACTAATATACTATATCATATTATACTATACAGCGCGATAGCCCGGTACCTCCTCTAGTGAAACACTTTTTAGCCCCCCACTTTGAACATTCGGCAATCGTCGTGATACTTGCGTGATATGACTTCGTTTCTCCCCACACGTCCGGTTCGGCAGGAGCGACCCACGGGCCCTGCCTGTCAAACCCACCTTGCCCCTCATTGATCTCCATACCGCCATCTCGACTGGATGTGCGAGGGTATCCATCTCTTATCAACCAACACAAGCACACGCTCGAATCACAGCATCGTGGGCTCCCACACTGAAGCTTGGACATGATCATGCATGAGCAAGCCACGACGCAGACCTGCATGACCTCCGCATTGTCAGCAATGCCGCCACCCGTTCCAACGCTTCGGCGAATGCCCGTCGTCGGTTCGTAGATTATCCCGGGTTAGGGGGTTTTCTCTTGCTGCCTTATCAATTTCCGTCGGGCCAGACTCCGACACGTCACTGCTACCGCGTGCAAGCCCATCGACCAAGGCTGCCCTCCTTCAGTCCGGCTCGTCCAAAATCGAAATTGCGTCCAAGGTGATTGTGGAAAATGGAAAAAGTGCTTTGCGCAAGTTTGCTTGCCCAACCTGCTCGGGTGGGTGGTGGGCGGGAAACTCTAAAACAGCCTGGTGCCAGAAATGGATCGCGCAGGCTGGCGGGATGGAACACGGAACACGGAATAGTCAAGAAAATACTTATCACAGCCTTATGTGGTCAAAACAACCCTCCAACTCAGCGCCGATAATCGGAAAACTGTGGCCAACTTTCTGAAGCCTTGACCCTAGGCTTGACCTCATCTCTTGTCCTCCGGGAATTGCAACCCTCCCCTCATACAACATCCGGCATTCCAAGACACCACGTCTCGTCTCGCCTCGTCTGCGACTACGTATTCACCCACCTAGCCGGTATCCAGCATCCCCAACGGCAGTTTCATTTCGCAAAGGAAGCAAGTTAAGGCTGACGGTCCGACGGACCCAGTGACGCACGAAGGGTCCGACTTCCAGTCCACCTGACCCTTATCAGCAGCGGGTCACAATTCGCCATCAGAACTCGGCACCACGATCGAAAAAGAGCCGAAATTTCACACATATACAACCACGCTCCTCTTGAAATTGAATAGAAGAGTCGATTTCGCTTGTTGGAGTCTTTTACCCATCTCTGGCCTCGCAATGAGTGCCCAAATATCTTTCCTGGTATGGCTCCCTCCACCCCCACACTGCCATGACCCCGCTATGCCGACAACGGCCAGCCTGTCGTTCAAGCTCACCATTCCCCTTCGGCATGCTGTTCAGAAGGAGCTGCCTCAAAGGATGAGACAAAGGATACTGGAATCACTGGGTTCAGTTCGAGAACGATTCAAGCTAATCAAGGCACTAGGACGGGACCTACACGTTGATCCACATCCCCCTCGACTTGTACACGACATTTCTACAGCCCATTCTTCGAGTCCTCATCCCCCAAACAGCGCGCCTTCATCTTGGGGCAGATTTTAAACCCGACGTCGACGAACTGGACGGTCTTTCCGAGGAAAACCAGCATGGTTTCTTGAACATTAGTGTCACACCGCTGGAGGCCTCTATTGTATGCCACACATCATGGGCAAAGGAAGTGTTTGAGCCTGTCATCAACTCCTTGCCGGCGCAAAAGGCCAAGACAGTTTCAGTATTTACCGATTCATACATGGTTCTATCCGTCATTGGCGCTGGCCTGGATGCTGCCACAAGGGTATTGGAGCTCAGCTCTCCACTTGCATTGGCTGGTATTCCCATCTTCTTCATCACAACGTACTACTCAGACTTTATTTTGGCGCCAATTCGAGAGAGACGAAATGTCATAGCAGCCCTTTGCGAGAAGGGCTTCGAAATGTCCGAGAACCAGTCCAACTCTGTCACTTCCCCCACGTATAGTCGCAAGAATTCGGAGAGCTATCACTCTGCGTCTCCGCCAAGCACCCCGCCTCCGTCGACTGACAATGAGCTGCAATTGCGAACGTTTGATCTTCTGCAGAAGCGCAACGTTTCTCCATATGTGGATGAGGATATCGAGTTGGTTCAATGCTCTGGCCGAGAAATTTCTCAGCTGGCTGATGCTTACGGACACCGGTCGTCCATTAGCCGTCACACCGTAACAGACAACCGCCAATCCTGGATTGAGAATGTTGACACAAAACTATACGCGTCCTTGATATCCGTCCTCGTCTCGCAGCCGCGGTTTATATCCATTACACTAGCTCATGAAGACCCGCCATCGCTTCTAATGGATAAGAATCTCCTTGGCCTGTTTAGCGACTCGCTCGTCGGCGACATGGACAACATTCTTATCCCTATATTTCTTGATCTTCTCAACCTACCATCCGAGGTCACTGGCATTGTTTGCGGGGTGTCGGGTCGCCTGGTTGATGAGATGAAAATGACGGCCACGTCAGAGCTGTCGTACCTATCTACGGCACGCGCAGGCGTGGTTATTCTGCCAGAAGAGCAGTCCACGCGCGCGCTCGGTATTTTGAAACCACTTCTACAAAAAGACGAGTAGTCTTGCATTGGTTATCTCACATGACAGGAACAAACAGTACCATCCCGTTTTCGAGGGCTATACCGCAGAAAAGTTGTTGGATCTTCCAACCCAGTTTTATGTGTAAACCATGCTTCTTTCGAGGGTTAATATATGTATGTATATGACAATGTAGCACGGGGCACCAGGCCTTCAAGATACCAATACAAGTACCTCTTGGTCTTCATGTGTCGTCTTTCTCTGCGACCCTGTTCCCCACCAACCACCCGTTGCCCATGGTCGTCTCTCCTCCCACAACCAAGTCCATCCCATCCCCAAAGCACCTTCACTTCCCAGCGACGCCCGCGCGGACCATGGCATCCCTCGCAACGCCATTGATGACCGCAAACCGCCGCGGGCCCAGCTTCACGCCGCCGTACCACCGGCTCACAACCACCACCACCCCCCACACGTCCATGACCTGCATCAGGTGCAGCAGCCTACCGCCCGCCGCCGTCTCCCCGTCGTCATCGCAGTCCTGGAACTGCGTGCCCCGTTGGCCGCGTATCCTCCACGCCGTGATATTGTGCGTCGCCAGCCGCACCTTCTTGTCCGACGCCAGCAGACTCGCGACGTGGCTCCTCGCCTCCCCGGGCGACGACGCCCTCGCCACCCTCGCCACAAACGTCGACTTGTTCTCCACGACGACCTCGGACAGTGTCCAGTCCGGGGCCGGGAAGGGGTCCTCTTGCTCTTCCTCCTCCCCCGCCGCTGCCTCCTCGTGCTCCGGCCCGTCCCGAGGCTCCTCGGGGGGCCGCTCCTCGACCCGTCTGCCAAACTCTTCCACCGCGTCAAACAGGCACACGCTGCCCTCCTGGAAGACACTGTGCACGGCGTCCTTGAATAGGCGTAGGTCCCTCGCCCCGGCGCCTCTAACGCCGCCCGAGGAGTGGTGCGTGCCCAAGATTAGCGGTGGTTGTGCGGGATACGCCTCCGGGAACCGGATCCTGAGCCATGATGCGTCGCCGGGTAGCTTGAGGATATATGTTGACGAGGACTCATCTTCCGTTTGTACGAGTGACCCGTCTCCGTAAATAGAATTTATTGCTTCTACTTCGTCCAGGAGCTCGTCTGACATTGTAGGCCTCTGGCATCACTTCTGCTTTGTCGTTGACGAGATGAGAATATGGAGATCGACTCGAGGTTTGCATGTTCCGCACAGTGCTAAATTGTGGGGCGCATTCTTCACAGAAACGACATCCGTCATATAAACTCACACATCCACTTCTTTCGTCTACACACCATGTTGTAGCGTATAAATAACATGGATTGGATACGGCTTGACATAGTTTATAATACGATCACATCCTCTGCCACCTGCCGTCGGCAGCCTTGTTCTATAGTGCCATCTTCCTGACAACTCACAAACCTAGGATACACCCCTTTGCAAATTACTCTTACTCATCAATGACGGATGCAAACCTATCCATCATTTCTTGTTGAATAGTCTCATACTGTGGAAAAGTTAGCCAATGACGAGAGAGGTGGTGATAAGGGGTCAACAAACCTTCTTAGTGATTGCCTCCTGGCCGTCAGAAGGCACCTCGAACTTGAGTTGCTTCAGCTTGGCCTGTAGGTCGGCAGTGGCTTCACGTACTTTGCCCCAGCTCTGGCCTTGGGCAATTGCCTTCTGGGACTCATCGTGGAAGCCAACCATGAGCTTCATCATCCACTCCGTCTTCCAAATGGGGCAGAACTGATCATAGTCCGAGTAACCATTTTGTTGCAGGAAATCTTCTTTGATCAGGGCAGCGAGATCAAGAGTAATCTTGTCAGGATCAGACAAGGCACTCTTACCAACAAGCTGCACGACTTGGTCGAGTTCTTCCGAGTCGGAAATGAGCTGCTTGATTCGGTCTCGAAGCCGGGGGAACTCGGGGTAATCCTTTTCGTAGAATTTGTCGAGAACAGTGGTGTACTTGGTATACGACACAGACGTGTTGATTGAAGGGAAATGCTTTCGCTGAGCGAGCTTCTTGTCGAGACCCCAAAAGACTTGGACGATACCGAGGGTGGATGTAGTGACGGGGTCTGAGAAATCACCACCAGGGGGGCTGACAGCGCCGACAATGCTGACACTGCCGTGTCGCTCAGGAGAGCCCAAAGTCTGAACTTTACCAGCGCGTTCGTAGAACGAAGCGAGCTTGGCACTGAGATAGGCGGGGAAGCCCTGGTCAGCAGGCATTTCTCCCAAGCGACCAGAAAGTTCTCTCAGAGCCTCAGCCCATCGCGATGTAGAATCAGCCATCATGGCCACGTCTAGACCCTGGTCCCGGAAATATTCGGCGACAGTAATCCCAGTATAAATCGAAGCTTCTCGGGCGGCGACGGGCATATTGGAGGTGTTGGCAATCAAGGTCGTTCGCTTCATGATGGGTTCCTTGCGACCGTCAACCTCGATGGAAAGTTCAGGGAAATCCTTCAAGACTTCAGCCATCTCGTTTCCACGCTCACCACATCCAACGTACACAATAACATCGCTGTTGGAGAACTTGGACACAGACTGACTAATGACAGTCTTGCCGCAGCCAAAAGCGCCAGGAATGGCAACAGTACCACCCTGAACACTGGGGAAGAGGGCATCCAAGACACGCTGTCCGACAAGGAAAGGCTGATCGGCAGCCAGCTTTTCAGTCGTGGGACGGGGGACTCGAACAGGCCACGACTGCATCATGGGGTATTCAGTCTTCTTGCCATCAAACTCAACCTCCAGGATATTTTCGGCAACAGTGTACTCGCCCTTGGGAGCAATCCTGGTGATGGTGCCACGAGCGCGAGGTGGGAACAGAATCTTGTGGTTAGAAATGAAGGAGTTCTCGAAGACATTACCCCAAACGTCACCGCCAGCAATGTGATCGCCAACCTTCTTGGCAGGGGTAAACTGCCACTTCTTCTTTCGGTCGAGCGCAGGAACTGAAATACCACGGGGGATATAAATGGTCTTGGAAACGTTGGATATTTCCTCCAGTGGTCGCTGAATACCGTCGTAGATACCGTTGAGCAAACCAGGGCCAAGTTCGACGGATAAGGGCTTTCCGCTTCGTGCGACAGGGTCGCCAACCTTGACACCGGCTGCAGAGTGTTAAAATAGGGTATTCAGAGGACTTCGGTTTACCAAAGGAGGGTTCGTACCGGTCTCTTCGTAAACCTGAATTGATGCCTGGTCTCCGTTGATCCGAATGACTTCACCGACAAGGTTGTCGTGACCGACTTTGACCTGAATAGGACGTGAGTCTTGGGTTTTGTCTCGCACCATTTGGCTGTAGACAACTTACGAGTTCGTACATGGCAACACCAATCATGTCTTCGGCCACAATGACGGGACTGTTGGCAAATTAGCTCGTTGTCGTTGATGGGTGAGGAATAGCTTCAACAGACCCGGAGATGGAGTAGATTTTGCCTGCGCAACATGTCAGCCAGGCAAACAGTCGTCAAGTTGATAAAATTTGAATATATTGCCTACCATGGTGAACAGCTTCGTCGCCGGTATTGTTGGTTTTCTGTCGCAAGCACAGAGGTTAGCCTTGATGATGATACAGTGGGGCAACAAGGCCGACCACCACGGGCCGGAGGCATGGAGGAAACGAGCGGCCGTTGGATGGCATTGACGCTCAACGAGGGGTGCGCATACAGATGGCATCTTGGGCGGGTTTGAAGACGTCGGCTCCGGCTCTTGATGAAGGGAAGAAGAGCGCTGGGGGGAGGGCGACGAATGCTGTGAGGATGACAGCGTCGACGTTGAGGGAGATGGCGATGCTGGCGAAGGTGGTGAAGGTGAGGGTGGAGAGTTCAAAGACAGCTCTGACACAGCTGCACCAGCGTCGAAGCGGATTGGGCTTGGTGTGCCTGGTGGAGAGAGTGGAGGCGATGATGTAGCAGAGGCAGCAGCGGCTGCTAAGGCCGGGGCCAGGGGAGAGCCTACGGCAGGAGCACCTGTGGGTGTAGCAGCAGAGGCAGGCGCGATGGAGACGACGGGTGAGCCAGTGAGAGGAGCTGGCGCAGGAGGCTCAACATCAGGGAAGGAAGGAGAAGCAGGCGGCGAGGCTGGGCCGAACACCGACGTTGCAAGCCAAGATCCACGGCGAGAGCCAGCTGGAGACCACGGCCAGGCACTATTACCAACACCGGCTCCAGCTCCAGCCCCTGGAGACGCCGGCAAGGGAAGCTCGACTGCAGACGACGAGTCGCTGGTTCCTGGGCGGGACGACAAAGAGTTGCTTCGGTGGCGGACGAGGTCCAGGAGTGAAGGCCGAGCCTTGAGTCGGGGTCGGAGTCCGGGCTGCATGCACGACTGCCGATGCTCTTGAACGGCTATTGCCAGTGCTGATGCCTTGCAGGCTTGCTGTTGTGTTGATGTTGCTTGGAAAACAACTGCATAATGACAGTACGGAGCACAAGTACAAGCAAAATGGTGACGCATGGTGAGCCCACCACCAGCCACGCAGGCCGAGAAGACAGGGGTCGCTGCCACCAGAGATCTGTCACCACCAATTCAGAATGGGGAGTACTTCGTACGAAGTTGGAGAGTTGCGCAAGCCGAATACGCCGTGCTTGCTGAGAGATGTGAGCGCTCCAGCGTGGTGTTTCTGCTAGCCATACCAACACGACGATCTGATGTTTTACATCCATCGAGCATAAGCCCCGACTTACAACCGAGTGAGGAGCAATGAGAAGCCCATAAGTTAACCGCCATGTTGACTATTGACGCAAAGGTCTGATTGACCCGAAATCACCTGTTCGTCGTATCGCCTATTGTTCTCCAAAGGAAGTGACATAATTCACAGGGGATCGCAACCGCCGAACATCGGGGCCGAGACGATATTCGAGTCAAGGGGCATGGATTCGGCAGATTAGCGTGCGCTTTGAAGGAGTCCTTGTGTGAGAAGCATAGTAGCATAACTAAGAGCTCTGTATCGATTGCGGCGAGGGATGCGAGGGAATCGCAGGAGGCTTTAGCTGGACAAGTGACAGTCCAGAAGTTGGGAACATGCAATACATGAACTCCTGTTTGGGTATCTGATGTTTTGCCATCTCCATCCTGGCCTCGCGGGATATTTGTGCGACCATGGAAACCTCCCAATTGAAGAAGAGCAGACTCTGTTCACTGCACTACCCTACATGCAATCTCGATTTGCCGTCTCTACTCTATTCTTATATAGGTCTTTCAAAATGGTGAATTTGCTCCGAAATCTATTCTTTTCTTGCATCTAATATGCAATCGGCCACGCCATCAGGATCGAGAGAATCGAGACCATTCATGTTGCCGTGTTCCACAAATCATCCAATTTCGACAATCATGCCAGGAGGCTATGTTAATGTTTTACATAACGTCTTCACCTATATACACCAACCACAACACCCAACAACACGCAATGCTTGACCCCTAAAATACACTACGCATCTGCGGCGCCCTTGGTCCCCTTCGCCTTTGCTTCAGCAATAACTTCGTCCATAATCTTCTTCAACTCCTGCAGCGCGGCGTCGTCGGCGCCCACAGCCGACAGAGTCTTCAGCGTAATGGGGACGCCACACTCGTCGTGCTCTCTCCTTTCGTCCTGGATACCAGACCGCTTTGTCAGGTTGATGCCGGGCTTTGGCTTCCAGCAATTGTCCTGGCTGCGGGCAGCGCGTAGCTGGCAGATCTCGTTGGTCTTGCAGTCGCCGGTGCAGGAGGCGGGCTGCCAGCCACGGGACTTGCGGGCAATGTAGGCGTTGAACTGGGCGTCGTCGTTTTCAAAGGCCACGGTGACGTTGTGCCAGAAGGCGGGCGTGAGCTCGGCCTTGGGGTCGGTGAGAGGAGGTGAGACGAGCGGGCCGTAGGACTCCTTGGCCGAGTAGAGCTTTGTCCAGACGGGGGTTGTCTGGAAGGAAGGGTTGGTCATGTCAGCCATGTAGGTGGTGTGGTCGAGGACGGCAAAGGTGTCCGGATCGACGGTGTAGACGCGGAACGAGGGCATGCCAGAAGTGGGCGTGAGGGATGGCGCAATATACGAGGTCATAAAGGCGTTGGAGGCGCTGCGGTGCGCGTAGTCGCTGTACGACAATTCGAAGTGGTCGACGTGCGTGTGGCCGAAGAAACTTGCTGCAATGGTGTTTTGGTACCGTTTGAACACTTGATCGAGGTAGTTGGAGCCGTCGCGGAGGGCGTCTGCCTCGCCGAGCGGCATGTGGCCCATGATATAGACGCGTTCCTTGGCTTTCTCGGCGGCGTCGAGCTCATTGATGAGCCAGGCGATTTGGCCGTTGGGATCCTTGTCCTCGTACGACTGGTACATCCAGAAGTTGTGGCGGTAGTAGAGATTAGTGTTGAGAGAGATAATGCGGAGGTTGCCTTTGGGGTACTTGGTCGAGTAGGCACCGATCTTTTCGACCATGGCGGTTGAGCTTTCGCCAATCCAGTGTTCCCAGTCAGAGGAGAGGAGGTTGTAGACCCATTGGCTGTCGTGGCCGATGGCATTGGGGACAAAGGCGTTGACGGGGTGGGCTTCGTGGTTACCGGCAGTGCCGTAGACGAGTTTCAGGCTTGAGTTCATGGTGTCGTACGCATGTTGGACTTGGGGTGTTAGCTGCGTGTGAGGGCAGTTGTGGGTTGCGAGAAAAACAAAACAAGAACTTACTCAGGTTGGTGTTGTACGGCTGGCTGGTGTTCCAGATGGCGTGGTCGACGATATCGCCGGTGAAAATAGTAAAGGCGGCGTCGGGCACAATCGAGTTGATAGCGTCATACATGCTTCGCTCCAGAGTAAAGGGCACATCACACATGTGGTCACCGTTGGGTCCAGCAGGGAACCCGGTGTTGCCAGGTTGGTCGTCCTTGGTGTAGGGTCTTTGTTGAGTTGATTTAGCCTCAGCCTTGCCTGTGGTGAAGGTGGGGGCAAACGTACCTGCAGCAAATAGGCCTGCCATCGCACTGAGTGCTGGACCCAGGGACATACAAGGGATCGATGTGAATATCAGAGTAGTGAACAATCTTGATGGGATCCTTGCCACCAGGCCTTGGTCGACCACCAGTAGGTTGCGCCGAAGGGTAAGTAATATCCCACGTTTGCACATCAGGGTATCCACAAACGCCCAAGAAGGTCGTGCAAAATGCCTTGGAGGTTCTTGAGCCAACGGAGATCTTGCGAATGTCTGCTGCAATGATGGGGCCTTCGAGAGCAACAGCGCCGTCACAAACGTCGTCGGGTTGGACCTAGGGGCGTTAGCACAAAACAATTCACGTCTTGTATGCGCAGAGGACAAACCTTTGCAAGCTTGCAAATCCCCTGGATCACCTTGACAAAAGCTCCATCACCGAAGAATGCGAGAACTTTGAGCGCACCCAGCAGCAGCTACACACCAGTTAGCATCATGTGCCTGATGGATGGATGGAGATTTGCATGTACGGATTCTCACCTCTCCGCCGGCACAAGTAGTAGCGTCCTTGAGCTTTTGCCAAATGTCATCCAAAAGACCTCTCTCAACCAATGCTCTGGTTAAAAGCTCAACGTCACGTGGAGAAAGCTGGTCCAAGTCCCGAGAGTTTAGCAACTCAAAGTCTCGTGCAAACAGATCGCGGGATTCTTGAGAAGAAGAAGCAGCCGCAGCCTGGACCACAGGGCCCAAGGCAAGCAAGGGGAGCAGAGAGCCGGGACGCATGGCTACGGGTAGTGTTGGTTCGAGTCAAACTGCAAACACTCTTGCTCAATTATCAGGAAGCTGATGTCTCGCGTGACCTTGGCAGACTGCTGATCTGATCTCAAAGGGTGGCCATCTGACTACATTTATAGAATGGCACTAAACAACAAGACTAATGACAAAAAAAGCACGTACAGACGTCCACGGAAGTCAATACTATCCCGGCAAGTCTGTCTCACTGCCGTCACCTATTCATCCTGGAGGGAACAATCCCACTCGGCTGAGAGTGCCGTGGAGGGCCCCCAACGATGCCACGATTAGCATTGAGCTACCCCCGATAGTCCAATGTCAAGTTGTAGGATGGGATCTCGCCTCGGGACCGGACGTGGTATTGAGGATGTCAGTACGGCATTAGCTGGATCCAATAAGGGATAAGATGAGCGGCATGCTCCGCCTGTGCCGGTGGAGAGGATGGCTGAATGGTCCCGAGCCATGATAGCGGCCCTGGTGTATGCCGGGGGAGCAGAACCGGGGGTAGACACCTTTGGGCAAATCGGTAGCGTAACTGGATAAAGCGCCGGCCTGGGAAAGCGCACGTAGATGCTGTTATTGGCAGCTGGACAAGATGGATGGTGTGGGGGAAGAAGGATAGAGATGTTTGGCCGAGCACGTTGGCGCAGAAGTTCAAAATAATGGTGCAGAAAACGGTGCAGAGGTGTGGCAGCCACGAGGTCCGTGATTGGCCGAGCGGCGAGGCGCGGCGAGGCACGAACCGAATGGCCCATCCCATCTGCATCGCCGGGTCTCGTGAGGCAAGCCACCACCGCACCAGAGCAGCAGACGAGAGGACAGGCAGCAAACGAGCAGAAGATACGACATGTTGAACTGCTGTGTCAAGCGTGGGAATATCGGCGTGACCGGATCCCAGTTGGACTGACTCTGGAGTTATCACCTCAACTTTCTTCTCCACAAACTGGGACCAGCCAGCTTGAACCAGCAACCCTAGAGGAAACTCCATGTCTGAGTCAATTACCAAAGTTCCAATTATACCAAGTGGAATTCTGCATATTGTACTCCGTACTCCCGAGCCCCAGTACACTACTTCAGGTCAGTCGGTGTCAGGCAAAAAGCAAACACCGCCAAGCAAGGCTGACTCCTTCTCACATCGTCTGCAGTTCACCGCTGACAAGATTGCAGACATCCTCGAGCCGAAGCTGTGATGATGTAGTCATGCAGCAGAGACACACAAGGATCCATCTCCGACTCGCCTTCCCAATTCTAACCCCTCCTCACTCCAAACACCGCCTTTACGGAGTACAGACGGCCCCCAAAATATCCAGATTGCCAGATAACCTTGCAGCCATCGAAATCACCTTGTTCCTCGTACGTCCCATCTCTACAGTTTCCTAAATGCTTCTAGCTCAGCGTCCTGCTGATCGGGTACCCACGTCTGAGCGCCAAAAATGTCTCGGGTCGCACATTTTGTACATACGAACTGCACCAGTAGACACCCCGGCCTTTCAAGAAGAAACTAAAAATGTTGACTTTATTGATGAACGTGCATGGAATGAGAGTTGGATAATCCGTGGTTTGACCTTCTTTGCCAAGAACCGAGCTAGGGTCCTTTTGAGGGGAACAAACCAGATATTATTGTCCATAGATTGACATCTTCTACCCGAAACTCGAGTTGAATGGGACGCCATCTAGCATTCATCTTGGCTCGCCGAGTAATTTCATTAGAATCAACGGGCCGTCTGGTAAAGACAACGTGGTTGACACAATGACTTGTTCACATATGCTATCTTCACCAAGGAGATCAACTATGGAGATACGAAATAGCAGCTCCGCCTTGTGGGGAAGGCGATGGCCCAGTTCGTCGGACTTGAAACTACTCAACTGACTTCTCGGCTTTTGGGTTCCCTGAAAGGCAACTAAACTTAATGTTAGAGTTGCGTCAATGGCAAGTTACCTACGTTGTATGTCGGCGACCAAAGAAGCTGACAGCGAATTCGGTATACGTACTCCTCCCGCCGAACAAGTTGAAGTCTACACGGAACGCTGCATTCATGTGTTGTT